CACAATAATCTACCGATAAACAAAGCTGTAAACAAAATACAACCACTTATGTGATCATTTTTGTTTGCAATGTAAAGTACACTTCATGTGTAAATCAGCAAAAAAAACTAATTGAGAAAATCTAGAGTTCACTCTGCCTTGATCTTCAGAAAGGTTGGCAGGACAATAGCATTAAGTAGGCCTATGTGTTTATTGGCTAATGACATAATGAATTACACTCTTTAGCTAGAATTATCGGGACATTCTGTATTAACAGAGCTTGAAATCAATATTAATATCAGTACTCAACAATCCATAGCACTATATATTGTCAAATATTATCAAGTACTTGGCCAGAGCCTTAGTCTTGTCAGCTTGTTAATTGATCAGATGTTTCTTATGGCAATTCATAATTTGCTGTGTTGCTTTTCCATTCAAGGCCGCCATCAGCTAAGGTCTACAACCTTTAGATAAAAATAACACCTTCACCTTTGGTGTTGTGCAACAAAATGACCCAATGTGGGTGGATGTTATCCGTTACAATGCATCACTCAACATAATAAAGCCAATGAAAATGTCACATTGAAATATGACATGTCATAATGTGTCACAATGAGACATGGCATTGAAAAGATGAATTACTGCGAGTGGAGTGGTTTTGCACCAGACATCAGTTCATGTACTCAAGCATTCTTGCACATCAGTTTCCACAGACAGTGAAGCAGCGAGTGTGGCAGTAATCCTAAGAATTACTGTTTTAAACATCTCATGTTGTTAAAAATCTTGTGTTTTGATTCTTTTCTGCTGCTTCAGTTTTTGTAGGTTTGGTAAAGTCTGTAATCAAATATACACTGGGACACAAAGGAGATGATCCATGTCAAATATACATGACTTAACCACCAACAGCTTTTCATTCCAGCATATTGACTCATACCACAAAGATAATGATGAACAATTAATGACAATGACTCATGCCACTGAATTACCATTAATCATAAATATAAGTTAAGATGGAAAAATGAAATGAAGCTAATGATTTTATTTAATCAGTTAGTGAAAGCATGGTTTGAATGTGTTCACTAGAAAATGTGCCACTACAACAGATACTATACAAAGATACTGTGTATTTTTTAAAAATCATTTATTTTGAATAAAATTTATAAAACAGAATACATTACATTATATATATATTCCCTATTATTTACAGCCATATTTCACAATTTTAGTAGTCAATTTTACATACAAAATTTAAACTTCAACAATGTAAACATCTTTTGTGAAGGATTAATATTTAATACCAATATTAATATTTAAAGACCATCCGGCTGAAATCCCAAAAACCCTCTTCATCAGGCATAATAATCAATTACACATTTACAACATTTGCAAACAAGTGAGAAAAATATCTTCATTTTGAAAAAGCTGTAATGACAATAATTTAAAAATGAAATGCCTCATATTTACAAGAACATTGACTGTGTGCTAAAAACCTCTGTGTGACACCTCAGACTTTGCTGTCCATTGACTTGATTTGTCCTTTTTCATCATCACTTGTGGCGGTCTTGAGGATTTCTACACTGTCAAAGTCTGACGGCATGTCAAAGAAAAGCTCATCATCAAAGCAGTCCCCGTCAGTTGGGGACGCCATGAAGGGCAACTTCATGACCAAGCCAGTGAGCAGCCCACCAACTGTAGATGCTGCAATGGTAGAGAAGACAGCTGCAACCTGGTAGAGAGCTTGTTCCTGTGCAGTGCGGCCCAAGCCCGGCTTCAACCCAGGAATCAGCCTTTGCAGCTCCAGCAGCTTTGGATCTCCCTCGGGTGGAGCGCGATGGGAGAAGATCTGGTACATACTGGGCCCGTAGGTTTCCTCAGTGGCTAAGAGGATAGCGCAGATTCCTGCTGTGGATGATATCAGGCCAGTGAGCCCATGGAGGTTGTGAATACCACACTGGTCTTGGATCCTCATGTGTCGGGCTAAAAAGGGAGTCAGGTACTTGTATCCAAAGAAACAGGCAGTACAACCCATGATGCCCAGGGCATATGCAGCTACAGGAGAAATCATCATGTCCACAGATGCCCCAACAGTCACACCACCTGCCAGAGTCACATTCTGAATGTCAGCCATTGTGAGTTTACCTCTCTTGTTAAACACTGCAGTGAGTGCAAAGGCAGTGATAGTGGATGAGCTTAGACCTATAAAAGTGTGGAGTATAGCTCTGTGTTGATCGTCACCCTTAAAGGTCAGAGCAGAGTTGAATGAAGGCCAGAACACCCACAGGAACAGGGTTCCCATTACTGACAGGATGTCAGAATGATAACTGGTTATCTCTTTAGCATGTCCATCATTCAGGCTCGGGCGATACAGAGCAAATGTCACTCCTAGACCAAAGTAGCAGGCAAACAGGTGAATAAGAATAGTGCCCCCTGCATCATTGATTCTAATGTATTTTAATACTGCCCACTCTGTCACAGCAAAGACAGGGATCTCCAGCAAAGCCATAACCAGGAGCTGAACAGGACTGGTCTTTCCAAGCACAGCCCCAAAAGAGATGAGCACCACAGCGCAAGCAAACTCTGCATTCAGAAGGTTGATCACCCCAAGGTGAATTTTACCATCATAGTAAAACTGGAAGAAACCCTGCATCAGGATCGCCCACTGGATCGCAAAAGTAGCTGTAAGAAAGTTGAAGACCATTCCACTGAAGCCGTAGAATCGGAAGAAGGCCAGCAGACAACCGAAGCCTATGAAGATCATCACCTGGACATCAGCAAAGTAGGGATAGTCACGATACAGGGAGTTGTCCATTGGGTTGGTCTCATTGTTTTGCAGCTTAGCGTTGGCATTGTCATCATAAGTGACAAAGACAGCATAAAGAACCAGAATGACGACCTCCAACACCAGCACAAACACCGGCAGGCGCACCTTCAAACTTGTAGACTTATTCATGATGATGCACAACTCACAGTACAGAGAGTGGCTCCCCCAGCTGCAACAACACCCCTTTTATACCTCTATTTTATCAGATAAGAGCAGCTAATGGCATTGGAGCCTAACCCCTGGACATGGTTATTTAACAATGCAACACCTTCACTGCAGAGTGTACTTGAATCACTCAGATTCCTCAAAATTACCTTCATGTGTTTCATCACAGTTCTCTTGTTAAATCTCTGAAAGTAGATTTTAAGAGGATGAGTTAGGGTAAATAAAGGATTAATATAGATACTGTAAACAAAGGCTTCATTCTGGTAGAAAATGCTGTGCCACTGAGCAGTTGTTGAATTTCAGTTACCTTGACTTTTCTCACGTTATATAAAATCTAATTTGCAATGCCAGTGACAGTTATTACCCATGTGTGTTGTATGGTTTAAATGATAATAATACAGTGTGATAATATGCACCATGAATGCCATTACTGATGGGTTTACGGAGTGACTGTTAATATTAAATCAAAACGACAACAAACATTTATTTGTTGATATTAAGGTTTATAAAAGTTATTGATTTTTTTTTACTGTTTCCATTCTTTCATGATAAAGTTATGATGACCATTTTATAGAATAAAATGTGATTACAATCTTACCAGCAACAGTTTCATATATCAAAGCCAAAAGTAATGTTTTCAGACTTTTTTTTCTGACCGCCAGTCAAAAATATTAATAGTGATAGGGACAATCCAAGATAGCAGTTGTAACCATGAGAAGACAGGTAGTTTAGGCAGTTTCTAGACCACTATGCGACCAGGATCTATGTCAGAGGAAATCATTTTAGACGAGACACTGGCATGTTTCCTAAAATTGGTCCTAGAAATGTGCCTGCAGTGAAAACAAGCTACGTTAAGTATGTTGGCTGGTACAGCGAGTTGATATTTTCCTGCACTTACCTGCCATAAATATTTTGACATGAGGGAGAGAAAAAAATGCTTTATGGTTGACTTGTTGGAATGATGTGATTTATTCTTCTAGAGAAAAAGGTTGTAAAATAGCAAAGTTGTGCTGGTCAGGAGAATTAAACAGTAAAAATAGAAATATGGTGCTCATTTTAAATAAATGACGCCTACAATTTTTAACAGTGGGTTGCAATATTATTTTTTAGCTCAACAAAACAATTTCCAGATTGCCTTTCTTTTTGCCTTTATTAGATAGTGTTTGACAGTAGCAACTAAAAAAGACAGAAAACGTGCAGGGACATACAGTAATTGCAGGTCCTGAGCTAAAGACAAGTGACATTATGGTGAGGCCTCATGGTAGATGCTTGCTTTAAACTGCTGGTCATCAAAATGCAAAATTTTTGCTGTCATCAAGATTGATGGGATTATTAGACAGGCTAGATGCTAAGTCTTTCAATCCACGTTTTTCTAGCCTATGTATTGATAAATTTAGGTTAATATTAAAATAATAAGCATGTATAAGACTATGTAAATAACGCGGAAGGGGCAAGGCATGGCAAGGTGCCTTTATCTGAATACCACTTTTACATAAATAAAGTAGGATATGTAGGTATGCAAGGCATGACAAGGAGGATACCATGACCAAACCTTTTTCACTTAAGACAGAGTAGGACAAGCACATGTGTAATTAATAAAACTAATAATGGCTAAATCTCATTTAGCTGCTTCAGTTTCAGGGTCCTTACATTGTGAATGCAGACTCAATGTAACACTTTCATATATTACAGGGACACTTGAATATAACAGAGCCATTGTTAAAGTTATGGTTGATTTTCCTACAATGAAAAGTCAAAAATGTCTGCTGTGAAAAAGGTCTGTTGGGAGTACAACGTTTAGCCTTGAAATATGCAAATATAGGCTATGCTAATTGTGACCAGAAAAAGTAATCGTTTTCAAGATGTGACACTGAGAGGTAATAGCTAAACCTAATGTTGAGTGGCTGTGCTTTTAAAGAAATGCAGCCTTGCCTGCACGTTCATGTTCACACTCCGAGGCAGCGGAGGCAGCAGAGACAGAAAAACATTGAGGAAAAAAAAAACAGAACGAGGAAGAGGACGACGGGCTCCCATGGTGCTCTGCACTGCCAACGTATGCAAACAGGAACATGGCTACCGGTTTTTAACATCAGCAGTCTATTTGAAAAAACACACATCTGTGATAATACAATATTTGCTGTGCCTCCGTGACAGAAGAAGGAAAAAGCCGTCGTAGAGTTTATCAGCGGAGCCGGCAGACCCTCTGAAAACAGCGTCTTCTTGTTCATAAATCACAGACAGGTAACGGATCAGTTAGCTCGGTCGGCAGCTAACGTTAGCATTGCAAGTCAACTACCATATCGAGTCACTTAAATCTTTAACATGTTGCACTGTCTGTCCTGAAATCAGCATTTAAAGCATTTAAAGCAAGACGCCGCACAGTCATCGTAATGGTTAAGACGTATGTTTTTCTTAAGCAGACACGTACGATAGGTGATGTGTGTATGATTGTCTGTGGTGTGTGTTAGGAGTCGAGGAGCTTTGACACGACTGCATTTCTGTGACATTTGAGTGATTGAATTTATTTAAGAAACAGACGTTATCGCGGCCTGATAGTTGTTTAACTAATACTCATACAATTACAGCCATCAACATGGCACTGCCCAGCTGGCGACTTGGAGTAGGGCTCATGTTGCATATTATTTGTTTGTGGTGTCTCCGTGTATTGTTTGTCACCGGTTGGTGCACTGGGCATTACATTTACTGGGTGTGAGCCTCAGTGACTGAAAGCGGTATATTTAGGTGTCCACATTGATAGTGAATTGAACTGACACACACATGTACCAAGTGCCAGTACGAAAATCCATCAGCGACTCCATTTTGCTCCGGAGTCTCAGAGTTTTTGATGTTTGCAGGAATATTATGTTAATTTTTTACAGAGCTACTACAGAGTCCACATTACGTTATGGTACTACATCTGGTTTGGAAACTGAACGGTCTAGTTTAAAGCTCAAACATTTAATCTGGTTGAAACGGCAGGGGAAATTACGGGGACGCCAACACCCCTCACTCCTCAAGACACTAGAGCAGTCCACTGTGCGGCAGGCCAAGAAGCCTTTACCTGACCCTGAGTATGTGCTAATGAAACCTCTGTATAAGCACGGCCTCTGTAAACTTTCATTCATGCCCCTGTCAGTCAAATTATGAATGGGCAACTCCTGCAGGACAGAACAGCAGGAGGACTCTTAAGAGAACTGCAGGTTTTATCAACTGCACGTTTGTTTAAAGTAAAAGGCGTGTAATGTGCGCCCATCGAATGTGTTTTTAATGTCTTTTTACTATAATGTTTGTAGTGTCCCCAAGACAAAATTTCTCCCATGTAAGATAATAAAGTAAACTCCACCTATTTGCATTTAGGCCTTGTTTGAACAGAACCTTGCCTACATAAAATCATAGATTACAAACCTTGCTCTCGGGGACAAATGAAATCTGACTGTTCTTACAGAATATCCAACAAGATCACTTTTCCCTTTGAAACTCCACAAAATTGCCAGTGCTCTGTCGAGATGAGAAACAGTCTTTGATCAAGAGACTTTTCTAGTATGTAGAATACTCTGTTCAAGTGAAAATCCACCTTGTACCAGAAATATTACAGTATATTGGACTGCTCCAGTGATGATTTATCAGTTGGTTCAAGGATTAGTTGAAAATGAATCCCTAGCTTCACATTTGGATGTTATTCTCTTTCCTCTTTGTTATATCATTGTGAATTGGTCAAACAAAACTAGCAATTTAAAAATGTCACCTTGTGCACTGGACAATGAATGTATCAGCTCATATCCCCAACCTGTTCAGGCACACAGCCCCAACCCCATTCTTTCTTCGTGATAACAACATAAATCTTTACATTGCAGTTTGTAGCAACTGTTATTTAACCAGGACACAGGTTACACACTTGGTGTTCTAGTGAGTATTAATGATAGCAAGACAGTGCTTGTAAGATTGGCTCAAACGAAACTATTGTGCCCGAGTTCATTGTACTGAAGGAACATGTCACACAGTGTCACTCAGTGATTAAATAGATTTTAGATGGCAATAGAGATCTCATCAGGGTCAATTGATTGTTGGTTTTAAATTTGTTGACAAAAAAAAAAAAATGCACCATCAGTCGTACCTTTATTTAAAGAGAGAATAAACACTGACAAATACCACTGACACTAAGCCAACAACAATTGCAATAATCAATTACTTATTTAAGCCATTTATCAAAAATTGCCTAACGTTCACAGGTTCCAAATTTTTAGCCCTGATCTTCTGATCCAAGACTGTGCACAGGAAAGGCTTTATTGCAGTTTTTTTCACCTATGCTGCTGCAGCCTGCTGCTTTCATCCACTTTCCAGGCAAGACACAATTAATCTCAAGCTGTCCATGGAGCAGGTCCATGTTTGTTTTAGATGACACCATCAAAGTAGTTTCCCTCTCTGCTGCTCAGCTTTTGGAGAGGTTGGTTCAAATGCACAAATTCAAATCTGATCTCTGTTATATAATAAAACTGTTACTTCTATTTTAGGGTGTATTTTGTCTTGCAAAGACAGGCCAGTAGGAGCATGTCATTTCAGTATGTGTAATACAGCTCTGGTATTGCTGGGATTTTATTCAGTGGTAGGCTGTTCCTTCAAGACGTAAGAATGGGCTCAGAAGGATTTATTCCTAGCTGTATGATTTGTTGTGTTGAACATAATTACATGAATAAATTGATAACCTGTAATTGTGAACACCCTCTATAATTTTCTTTCAGTGTGGGTCAAGATGGCAAGTCCAAGGACCAGACGAGTTCTGAAGGAAGTGAGAACCCAGGATGAGAATAATGTAAGTTCTCGGAGCAACTTATTCTCAGTCAAAATAGTGTCACCTCAATGGAGCCTTATAAATCACCTACTGTGGAAGATAGCAGGTGTTTGGGAGGCCTGCATTGTAGCACCTTCCTACAACCCTTCACAAAATTTCCCTGCTGTCATCCTTGTTCAAATAAACGGTGGGAGTAACTTTAGGTGGAATTCCACCTCCAGTGGACACGTTGGCCGTCATCTTTGGCAACATCAGTGGGCAGATACACTGTAATGTCTCTTAACCTATAAATAAATATACTAAGAAAATAGCTTCACATTTAAATGTCAGTTCAAGCATATGTTTGCATTGTAAATAGTACTTTATACTTTTTCAAGTCATTTTTTGTCTTTTAAACGGTTAAGATAGATAGAAACTTGAGATCAGTGGTCCCAACAATCTCATTCATTATTTGTGTTTATGTACAATGTTGAAATGCAAGGTTTTAATGAATATTTTGTACTATTCTTAAAGCAAATATTTAATCTTAATATATTTATTAATAAATGCAGGGTCAGCCTACCATTTTTTTTTTACACAATAATAATAATAATAATAATAATAGTAATAAAAATAATTATCCTTTTCTTTTCAGCTGTGTTTTGAATGCGGCGCTTTCAACCCCCAGTGGGTTAGTGTGACCTATGGCATCTGGATTTGTCTTGAGTGCTCTGGCAAGCACAGAGGCCTGGGAGTACATCTCAGGTAAGAACCTCGAAACTTATGCAGTTGGTGACATTAGAGATGTTACCAGTCAGATTTTGGGTGGTGGCACTGATTTTTACGGTTTCATTCACCAAGCTATGAAATAAAACTTAATAAAAGAGTACACTGAGTTTTTGGATAAACCTATCTACTACCAGTTCTGAGCATGAACATTAAAAGTGTCCTTGGAACAACAAGGGGAGCAACCAGTTGTGGATGCATTGATGAGTCGTGTGTGTATATGTTCCCATTTTTGTAATGACTAGTAACAGCTGCAGCAGCCCAGCGAATTATTACATCCTGATAATGTTTATCTCTTCTTTTCAGTTTTGTGCGCTCTGTCACCATGGACAAGTGGAAAGATATTGAACTCGAGAAGATGAAAGCAGGAGGGAATGGAAAATTCCGATTGTTTCTTGAACTTCAAGATGATTATGATCCCAACTGGACTTTACAGGAGAAATACAACAGCAAAGCTGCTGCACTCTTCAGGGACAAGGTGAGCTGTGCAGATCCAAAGGTCTATGATTAACAGATGTTCAGTTTTCTTGCTGAATGAAGACCACAGCTGTATTCATTTCCTACACATTTCACACTTAGAATGAAATCCTTATTCTAGCCGATTACCAATCATCAATCAATCCAACAGTCAGTTGGATTTTTGTGACGATTCTTGTCCAAGATTTTAAGTTGTGATTGTGAATTAAACCAAAAAGGGAACTTGGAAGAATTGGTCCAGTGTTGGCTGAGGTTTCTGTCAGATTTTTGCTTGTAAACACTGTGCCTCTTTTACATCAGAAGAATACACAATCTGGTGACACTGTGTATGTGACAGGTTGCAACTTTAGCAGAGGGTAAGGAATGGTCCATTGAGACATCCTCTGCCAAAAACTGGACATCTCCTCAACCCAAGACGAGCCTTTCATCCTCTCATCGGTAAGTTTGGAGGAAGTTTTAAACATACTCATGCTGTGTCCAATATCGGATACAGAACAGCCATCAAAGCAGTCAATTCATGTTTCTGTTATTTAGCTCAGGGGGACCTGGACAAAACTCAGCGAAGTCCAGCGACAAAGCTTTTGAGGACTGGTTGAGTGACGATGTTAACTCTTATCAGAGGTAAGAGCCTTACAAGATTTTGTTTTTATTATTCACTCTTTTTTTGCTGTGTATAACAATTTTTGATGCTTCCTCAGTGGAGGGGGTTACAGTGGGAATCAAGAGAATCGGTATGTTGGCTTTGGCAACACAGTGACCCCAGAGAAGAAAGAGGATGACTTCCTGAACAACGCCATGTCTTCTATTTATTCAGTAAGTCATGATATATATGTTATGCCTGAGATGAACTTTCGGTTGTATTTTTTCCCTCTGTGACAATTTTTCTGTTCTTGTGTTTTTGACAGGGTTGGAGCAATTTCACTGTTGGCGCTAGCAAATTTGCTTCTATCGCTAAAGATAATGTAAGTGTATTTATGCAGTAAATGTATGTATCCTATTTGTGCAGCACAGAAATTAAAATCAGAATTTCTGCATATAAGTAACAACCTTTATGCAAAAAATAAAGGTCATTAATTATTATTTTTCGTCTTTGTCCCCTCCAACAGACGACTAAACTGGCAAACCAGGCAACTTTAAAGGTAAGATTAATATAGTCATGGCTAACCCATTACATAACATAGGTTTCCTTAGTCTTATTCTGTGTATTGTATTAAGTCGTCACCTCTTTTTTGAGAGTGTTAGTATTTACAAACTGTATGCTATTTTTCATGGTAAATCTCTTAACATATAATGTAAACAGCTCTAATAACTGTGTGACTACTTTAATATCTCTTTGCCCTCTCTGGATGTAGTTAAGGGGCTATAAAGCACCCCCTGAACCGGTAAAGCAGATAATAGGTGCATGGCGCTTTTCCCACATCATGTTATTTTTTTTTAAATACATATCATCCATGTACTTTATTTTTGTCAGCTTGTCAGTTTTCCATCAGTAAAACAAACATTTTGAATGTCGTTTTCACGTGCTTCAGCTTGGATATACTTACACAAGGCATTGTTTCTGTCTTGGTACCTGTATTTTGAGTTTATGGATAACCTGTGAAAGGCAGCTGCTAACTGTATTATGGGACAGAATATATTATGGGATGGGGATGGCCTTTAATTCCTACCCCTAATATAGAAATGTATTTCACTCGCTTCCAGTGAAAATGGGTTATCCATTCATGCATGACAGTTTTTGTGTTGACTGCAAACAGTGCTGTAGAGGTGTAATGGTAATTACACAATTAAAAAAAAAATGTTTGGGCTCTTCATTTGAACTCTATAGTGTAAGTAGCACTATTTAGTAGGTTTTTGGTTCATAGGTGTTGGCTGCTATTTTGTTCTTTTTCTGTAAATAAGGCAACAGGGAAACAATCTTGGGAAAAATCATAACTTTAATGCAACATGTTACTCTACATAACTTAGGAGGCAGAGTAAAAAGCAAAGACATGGTCTTTTTTATATCTGGAATTAGTGATGTACACTTCCAAGGCTGCTAATATTTAACCAAACTGCACAGAAAAAATATGTATGCAGTGTTGCCTCAGCAGAGAAGTTCACACTGGTGATGCAAATGTTTTAAACCATTACACCCTCTAGAGTTTGTTCAGTGTCATGGTGAATGGGAATGATGGGTCACTTTATGCAACTGCAGAACAAGCAGCTCAGTGTCTTGCGCTACTGTGAATGTTAAACTGTGTTTCATTCAAGTGAATTCTCCCCTCTGACTTCCAACCAGGCTACAGAGTTAGGACAGACATTAAATGAGAATGTTATCAAACCTACCCAAGAAAAGGTAACATTGATGTTTGAAGTTGTTGATTTGGTGGGGTGCAGTGCTTTAGAAACAAAAACAGCTTCAGATGTGAATGTGCTATTTTCTACACTGCTCTTCTTTTCTAATATCTGCTTTATGCCAGCTTACATTATACGACAAAAGCTGTGGTTTCAAAGATACAAAACCCCCCTAAAAAACTTATCAAACCTTTGTCTTCCCGGTCAGGAACTCAACCTTGAGATTTGCCAAAGCAATACAGCTGTGAACTATTTATTTGGGAATGGGTGTGAGTCAGTGAACTCTCAGCACAGTCATTGGAGAAGGCTTAAAAGTGCATTTAAATATGTTTAGTAGCCAAAGTCTTTGTTCAGATATCATGCCTCATTTCAAGGCATTCAGTTTTCACTTCAATTCAGCTTGTTTTTCCATTTATCTGGCAACGTAACAGAGTTAAAAATCTTTTATTTGGCAAGAAATTTAAGCCAAGCTTCACTGATCTGTGGCAAAAGATATAATGCCACAGTCTTGGTAATGGTAAACACAAAAAGACACAACCTGGAGCTATTACTGACAATTAATTAGTCACTGGCTTTGCATATCAATTGAGCTTTTGCATTAAAATAAGCTTTGTTTTTTGGTAAAATGTATGAACTAAATAATATCACCTTCCCTAAAATCATGGTGAGTGTTTTCCACATAAATGCTTCCACATAGCTGCTCTAATGCTTACTGTCAAATGAGCAGCTCCAGGATGTGTCTTTTAATGAGATCAAATGTGGCCGGTGTAGCTGGAAGAAAACATTCTGATGTTCATTTATCAAAATACACAATACAAATGTGATAAAATAGGAGTTTGCTTTTTAATTAGTAGAAAATCTGTTTCACTCTACTGCGTAGTGGTTTACTCTCCGAGGCCAGTGACTGAGAGTGAGTGATATTAATGAAATGCTATTGTCTTCTAATGTACAGCTGGCATTGGTGATTTAAGGTATTTATAGAATGTACTTTTGGTTTTGTCTCCTTATTCTCTTGCAAAATGGTGGTAGCTGCGTTAATTTGGAGTTTTTCTCTCTTGAGGCGAATAACCTTTTGTTTGACTCAAACAAAAGGTTATTCTTTTCTCATGTTGATTATCAGTGCCCTTAATCAAACACATGCAATCGCTTTTCTCACAATCAAAAACAAACTTGTTCACTACATGTTCTGTTTGACAAACATATTTGGATTTTTAGTAGTTTTTTTGATAATAATTTGCATCAAACAATTTGCATTAATGCAGGTGAAAGATGGAAAATTGCTAGATGAAATGACAGTCAGCATCACTGGGCTGGCAAACAAGGTAGGATGGGCAGATCTCTGCCATGTTGCACAGGCACAAAACCAGTCTCCTAAGTGAGGAACAGTTGCTCTGATCCAAAACCTCTTAGTACAGATGTGCAAAAACTACAGATGCAGTCCCCCCTCAACATTGTAACCCTCCAAGGAGACTGGTTTTTGCTGCAATGATGAATGTACAATGAACAATACTAACTTAATGTAATCTCTTATTTTTCTTGCTGCCATTATTATTCTGGTGGTGAGTACTATGTTTGAAAATAAGCATTTGTGAGGATTTTTATTATTACTGCCTCTATTTCTGTTGCTAAAATTGAACTTACAGCACAGTCTGTTCATTTCTTGTGCACTAAATACTGATTATTAATTATTATATTTGATGTCATACAGGTGCTATTTTTTTCCCACCTTCAGCATAGCTCTAGCTTTTGGATGTAAAGTAGAAATATGTAAAGTAAAATACTGTGTATTAGTCATTTATTTCTTACAAAGTCATGATGTTCTAACACAGTAACAACTACATAGAATTTTTGTTTACCTGAGTTTACTCTTTTCTGTAGGTTCAGGGAGCTGGTGCAAAATTGACTAACCTCTTCTCGGGAAAACCAGAAGATGGGTATGATAACATTTCTTACAATTTAAAAACTCCCACATACAAAATCTTTTGTAATATGTGATTTAATTTTATGAGACATGAACTATTGAAGCATTTCTTCATGTTTTGACTTGTTTTCAGGTCTGCTGGAGAAAGTTATCAGAACATGGATGCCACTGAGGGATATCAAGGCAGTTCTACCCAGCCTGTCTCAAAGGACTTCTGGGAAACCTTTGGCAGCAACACCTCCTTAAAGGCCAAGAAATCTCCCAGCAGTGACAGCTGGACCGTTGCAGATAATTCTGCAAAGAAGAGCTCTGACAGTTGGGACAATTGGGGCTCCGAAGCCGCGTCCAACAACAAACACAGTACAGAAGAGAGCTGGGAGGCCTGGGACAACAACTGGGAGAATGCGGATGGTAAGACGAAGAAGAGTCCCACAAAACCTGCTGAGGACACCTGGGATAATGCAGACTGGTAGTGACCTCGCAACCATCAATCTCACCTTTTTCCCTCCCCTCCTTTTTCTGGCCTTTTCCATCTGTCTCCCTCCCTCTCTCTGTTCATCTCACTGGCACTTTCAGGGAAAGAGCTGTGTCTGCTTTGTTTCTGTCAATCCAAATTCAAAAATATATTTATTATAAACCCAAGAAACAATGAATGAAGCCTGGGGTTAGATTGAGCTCATTATTAAATGAATATTCTCTAAAAAAAAAAAAAAAAACAACAACAAAAACTGTATTGACTTGCAGTCATGTATATTATTGTAAATTACCTTCATCACAGGGAATTACAATGAATCAGTGTAGATATGGTCATGAATTTACTGCCTGGACTCCCCCAATATAATACACTTAATGGTGAAGAAGATAGTGTTCATAGTGTATCATGGGTTTAATAATAGTGGTTTTCAATTCACCACATAAATAGATTAAAAAAAAATCTGACATTGTAAATATGAATCCTTGTAAATACAGTATGATTGCCTAAACACTAATCACATTCATTTTTATGTGTTCAATCAAATTGACCTACTTTGCCCCTAGACCTTTTGCACGTTTTGTTCTTGTAAAATTGATTGTCGATAAGCATATGGATAGAATACAGCCATTTTCATAGAAAATATAGTCATAAAGTGTAATTAGATTAAGGGAACAAATACTGTAACAAATTGGCTATCATTAATCAAAAAATGAACAGATTTGTCAATTTTACATGAAATAATCTAATATGTATGTGCTAGGGCTCTTTTTTAACTTTTACATTATTTTCATTAAAATGTGCAAATAGTCAAGGGGCTTGATCATTTTATCATGTTGCCAAGACCAGAAAATTCTACAACAGGATGCTTGGAAGTTGTTTTGGGGCAAATGGATGTATCACACTGGTGTCATGCAGACAAGATAACTTAAAACTATTTGGTTTCAGACAGATAAGCTGTTGAAACTCGTTTTGATTGACATTCATTTTTTCCATCTCCACTCTGTCATTAACAACAGCTCAAGACCTCACTGTAATCTGAGTAATGAAAAGTATTCACTGTAAATGTCTTCAGTGACAGATAAAGTATTCTTTAAAGCACATCCCCAACATCATGTTAGGATTTATTTTGCAACTGCAACATTAATCACATTGTTTCTTTTTACTTCATAGCTGTTTTTTGCAATATTATGCTTTTTATTTGTTTCTTTTTCTTTATCTGATCTTAAAGCTGACTGATATTGTTCACACAGTCACTGTGTTCAGTTGTGGTCCAGCGGATGCTCAGAAACCACAAGTAATGGCTCATATTATGAAAGAAACTTGTTGGACATCAGCAGTTGTTAAATTCATAATTTTCCTTTTTTATTTTAAAGACACACATTTGGGTATTTTAAAGAATTGATATCTAAAAATGATTAGTTTATTTTTGACAATTTCATATAAAAGCCACTCATTGCAGGGTTATATGCTGTATGTACTGTACTGTATATGCGAGTTGTGTTTTAATAACTGGACACAGTTGGGAACTGTAGACTGTAGATTGTTTTCTGCATGGTTCTGCCTGTAACTTGTGACCTCAGCTGAACTGACAGGTCATTGTAAATTTCATCTTGTATGAAGAAACCCTGTGTGATCTGTTCTCCGCATCTGTGTCAAGTGTTATTGCACCTTGGTGGTTATATATTGTGGGGATTTGGTGTCACAGATATCTTCACGCGTGTATTATCATCTGAATTGTGGAGTAATATTAATGAAGCTCATTATACGCTGAATGCTTAGATGGTCATAGCTCTCAAAATGCTTGTTATAATTAAATCAACCTGGTACATCACTCAGTCAGATGGTAGTAGGAATGTAATCGGTGTGAAATTTAATATTAGGCCTATTAACCTGATAATCTTAAAATTTAAATGAGCTGTCGAGGTTTGAAAAGAGTCCAATTTTGCAGCACCTAACTTCTCTATGTGGCCTTTAATTCCTTATAACATAGTGTTGCAACTTTATCCTACTGTTTAGGACTTTAGTTTGATTTGTTTGTGCATGTAATAACCTAGAGATGCTCAGTCTACAAATTCTAAATTCAAGTTAGATTCAATCAAACTAATTTCAACAGAGTTCTGACTCTGATTTGTCTAAACTTGTTTGGCTTGGTGTGTGTGTGTGCTCATTGGCCAGTAGTCGGTCATCAACTGCTCACAGACTAGTGTGCCAGTGCAATACAGCTGCTGGATTTTTATTTGTTATTAGGGTGTTAAGCATTTTGCTGTTCTTCTATAGGTGGCCCTCATTGGGCCTCTTGATTGGTAAAAATAGCATTTACTATTGCAGGTTTTGACTAGTGAAGGATAACTCCTGGGAACTTTATTCCATGCCCATTTCCTACCTCTAAGAAGTCTTCAGTTTACTGACGAGTACTGAACATGTTTTTTTTCCTAACCTTGCATCATGGTTATGATGTAGACCTTATTATAGCAGGCTTAGTTTGCTGTGACTCATTTTTGTCTTTGTTAAAAGACAAAATGTGTGTACGTGTATAACAGCAAACCAGCAAAGATTGGTCTACACTGTTTTTATATACTGTACTGATCATTCCTGGAACATTTATGTCGCTTAACCTCTGCAGTCATGTGTTCATGTATGGTCATGTGTTAAATGCCTTAAAAAGCTGTGCTTGCTTTTTGTTGATACCGATGTCAGTTTGCTTGTGTGTCTCCGATACAGTGAGGTGTACATGTCAGTAAATCACCATCTAAGATAATGTCAAGTCATACATTGTTACCCTCAACTTAACCTTTTATTACGGAAGCTTTATGTCAGTTATTTTGTATTTTTCTTTTTCTTTTATGATGGTATAACATAAAACAAATTTAGGGGAAAATAATGGAAGACTGTCTTGTGAAATAACTGAACAGTCACTTGTCTGAAATGTGTAGTTCTAAAATACAATAGTTTTGGTGGATAAACTTTTGGGGTTACTGGTACACTTGCTTCATGGTAAAATTACAGAATGTGCTATTGAATGAAATGCGTCATATAGGTCTTGATATAAGGTGAGAATCTTTTTTTAAAAAATAAAACCTGATGTATTTTTTGCCACATAATCAGAATCGAATTTTCCAGAGCAACAGTTTAGCTCAGTGTCTGTGCCTGTCGAACATTTGAGATCGGGTATGTCCACGTTTGTTGATGAAACTGTAATGTCAGAAATACTATTTTTTGATGTCATGCATGAGATGTAACGTGGAGCTAAATACATTCAGCTGTTTTTGATTTAAAAGGTGTTTCCTCAGTGAATTGAAGTGCAGTTGTCTGCTTGCCCCCTTCAAGTTTCACCAGCAGCCATCCCTCGAGGTGAGCCAGTGTTACTCAGTTGAAGCTGTGGATATTTTTCCTGTGCACATGGTCTCTGTGTTAAATAAAAATGTATTGTGCTGTGAATGCAATTGGTTTCTTACTTGGTTTTCTATCCGGTGTCATTTGTTGACTGTCTTGGGGAGAGATTGATACAACAAAATTGAACTTGTTAACCAGATATCAAAGCCTGTCAGAAAATTAATCCAAAAGGTAAATGAATGTTAAAATGTGTTTGTTTGGTGGAAAAGGGTTGCTTTTGATCGGAGAGACAAGTTGTTAAATTGTACACAGGCTTCTGCATGATATATTTAGTGGCAGATATTCTCAGATCATACAGAAAACTTCTCATCTTCAGATCAGCTGATGTTATATATAATAAAGTGGATCATTTTCTTACAGTAGATGCAGTGTTTCTGTGGCTGAATGAACACCACAAGTATACAGCATGATTAAGAGGCAAACGGATGCATGTATGGATGCAAAGAACCCAACAAGGCTATTTTACATGGATGTTGAATAGCCTAATTTCTATTAAATGCATCCCATGCATTAGCAGTTCGAGATAAAATGATAAATATTTGATGATTTTTTTTTAATTTATGACTTGCTAACTGTAATTTGTTTAGAATTGTATTGCCAGTGGCATACGTGGATCTTTCAATTTTGAGCAAAATTAACCATACCAGGATCTGACAAACATATGTGCCACATGTTTAAGATCAGACATCTTGTTTAGTGATATTCTAAGCTTTAGCTTTTCTTGGTTTGGGCTTGAATACCACAAACCACCCAAGAAGAAAAGTAAAATGTAATTAAATGAGAAAAAGAAAACTGAAGTTGTTTAATAATATATGGATAGCCATATCTGTGTATAGGATGTCTCATTATACCATGGATTAGGGAACTCGCTAATAAACCCCTGTCAAAGATACTGACTGTCAGTTACTGCACCTACACAAATCAAATACGTGTAGAAAGATTGATGTCGTGTCATTGGTCGTGTCCCAGGTTGCAAAGGAAGAAGATGTCAGTTTGAGTGTGCACAAATGACAGAGATGAAGGGTCTGTCTCATTTGCAGACGGTGACATTTACATTGTGTCCCGCCTACAAGGCGTGGAAATGAGTCTCCCTTCCAAAAGTATTTCACTGGAGAGAGGGGGATACTGAGCATCATCGATGGCCCACTCAAAGGGTGAGTAACACCGAGCATCGACATTAGCAGCTAAGTATCCTTCAGTAAAATCATCCAGCCGTTCAGAGCAGAGTAAGTGAGGATCAGGACTGAGAGATATACAGGACATCATGTGAACAGCCGCCCAGAGACAGGCTGCATCATGACTGCAATGGAGGAGCAGACAGGGACTGGCTGGATGACTGGAAAACATTAGCCGCCTTGTGAAGAATAACGCTGCTACTGGCTGCGATAGTGAGTGAGTTTGATGTTTAGTGTTACTTTCAGTCAGAGGATAGTAAGAGGCAGTGCTGTCTGTGCTAGCCGCTGTTTAATGTACCGATATTATCAGGACTTGTGATTGATTTCGTTAAAGATCACAGGGTCGCAAATGCAGCCGTCGCTGCATCAGTCTGAGAGCTGCTTCTGGTTTCCATAGCTTCATTCGAGCCTGATCGATCACCCATGATCAGGTCTTACGCCTTTTAATAAGTTAGGTTTAAAGCTTCTTATACAAGAAGCGTGTACTGACGGTGTTAATAGTGCGTCTGTGAGATGGTAGCTAACGTTAACGGATCATGCCAGCAAACCGTCCATCTCGTGACATGCAAGAGGATGACTGTTGTCGCGTTTCATGTGAAAATTACTGTAAATTTGTCTAAAGGTAATCATCGTTTTATGTGCTGAGGGTAAAGGAGCATTGCTAAAGTTATTTTTCCCCCACTAATGGAGCAGCCATCTCCTAATATGCATCATATCACCAGAGGGGGCGCCACTCCGCACGTTCAACAAGCTAACACAAGCTACCATAAAAAGTTGGGCGCTTCACAGCCTACATGTGTGAATCTTTTATTTGAACCACCACAGACAAAAACTGCAAACCACATCATAAGAATAGTAAAATGGCGTCAGAAACATCCGGGTCGCGGTGAAAAGTAGCTGGTGGGGGGGCCGCAGAAGTAGTTGGGGGTCTTTGTGAAAAGAAGCTCCAACCACACTGTGGGATTTCTTTTCAGGCTGGAGATCCTTAGCAGCTGTTGCTATGCTACCACCACAGGGCTGTAGCAACAGTAGTAAGGACAGAAACAGTTCCCATCACTTAACTTAGCTGTTGCCATCAGCTTGCATCTCTGTTTCTGTACTGCAGTCACCACAAAAATATACTATCTATTTATAATGCAATGCAACAGAGCAGGACCATTTTAACAGCAGATGTTGTGACAGGTGTTATTAATAACAGTAGTTGCAGGTGTTCGATGCTTGCATGCTGGCCAACTTGATGACATACTGGGACAACTAAACAAAGCTGAGCCATAATGAATTAACAGTTACACCAGGTACTTTACTGTTACCACAAGGCCTGCTGTGGAAACGGTCTATAACCCTGCAATAATACTTAATACTTTAGTTGTGAGTTGAGAAAACACAAATGTAATTGATACTGTATTGCTGCCTTTTGGGTCTACTGGCTGGCTCACTGAACAGTGCAGAGCTACGTTATTAAGGTTATTAACGTTATTAGCAACACCTGTGCTTTCCCTATTAAGGTTCTGCTTTCTGTTCAGCTGGTGTATGTGGCATTAAGTGGATTCAGTGTTAGGCTATACTGAATATTTACCATACCGAGGCAGTACATGTTGCAAAAAAAAATAATTTAAAAAACTGAATATCAATGCAAAATGTTGTATGTCATATTCTCCTGTTTTTATATTTTACTGTAAAGCTTAGTTATGTACTGAAGACTAGCAAGAACTGCCAAACAGAAGATGCATCGTGTCATTGTATATTAACTGGTTTATCCCAAAATAAATATAACATATCAACAGTAAAAGTATTTAGTAAGTAGGTCTTTGTGATTTGTAGCATTCAAACATTGACAAATGGCTATTTTACGGAACACATACAGTGCATTCAGAAAGTGTTTCATTACACTTTTTTCACATTTTGTTATGTTGCAGCCTTATGCTAAAAGAAATCCCTCATCAATCTACACTCAATACCACATAATGACAAAGTGAAATCAGAATTTACAAAATTTTGCTAATTTTATTATAAAGGAAAAACTGAAATATCACATTGACATAAGTATTGAGACCCTTTGCTATGATACTTGGAATTTAGCTCAGTTTCCTCCCATTTCTCTTGATCATCTTTGCAATGTTTCTACACCTTGATTGCAGTCCCATCTGTAGGAAATTCAGCTGATTGGACAGGATGAGGACGATGACTTTGATGCATATCATGACGTGTGTTTAAATAGCACCTGTTTAGCTGTTTAGTTAATTTTCCTTACGTTTGCATTTACAGTTGCATAGATATCAAGATCAACTATAAGACTGCATAACAATCTGTGAGTCTTTAGCCAATTGCCAATTGAAAATGAAAATTAGCACCAGAACTTGCAGAAAAGTTTTCAGCAGGGCAGGCTCAGAGATCTGCTTGAAGTCGTGTAGGGGCTGCAGCCTCTCCATCAGATGGTTGGTTGGCATCCAAATATAACTGGCACTTCTCACTCTGACTCCATCATTTGCAGAATGCACCTTAATTTGTTGTAGTTGAAATCAAACACACACATATTTCCCTATCTCAGTCTATTAATCTCTGTTGTGACAAATTATGTGGAGAATGCAGTTCAGTGATCGGCAGTTCAAAGCTGTAGAGAAATGTAGAGATGAAAGGATTCAGCCACACTCATTATTCATACTACAGCTGAAATTTTTATTTCAATTTTGAAATGTTTTCATCGTGAGGAGCTGGCATCTGCAGCGCAATGATACACTGACAACTGATGCCATTTTCTCAAAAGAACAAATTTATAAAACCAGATAAACTCCTCAGAAAGACTGTGCTGCAGTGCTGCATGGAAATGCACTATAACTGGTAAATCTCTAGGGAAGACAGTGTTTGGTTCAGGCTGGTTCAAGAGGTTTTGTTTCTCCCATAATAGTTCCGCAATTATTAAGATTTTTTCTCAAATGAGCATCCGTGAGCCTTACAAGGTGTTTTGTATCCTTAAAGCACCCTGACTGCAGAGAGCCATAGGGAAAACAGTAGTGTCTTTTTCTTCTTTACCACCCTCTTCCAATCACAAACAGAGCCTGTCAGACAGCTTTTTTTTATGCTTCCTTCATGTCAGAGCAGAGAGATCTCTTGTTCTTGTTTGTGTTTTTCAGAGCAGTTGTTGCAAATAATGAAATAAGTTTAATAAACGTTGGTGCACTAGTGAAATTTAATACTAATAGTGAGGCCTAACAAAATAGGCTGGAAATGTTTCTAGGTGAATAATAGTGTGCCTTTACAAATGTGAAAATTAAACAGTTGCAAAAATTGAAAAACTGTAAATATGTGATCTACATGTGTGAGCAGTTTCAGGTATTTAGTTATTCATTGCAAAACTGCAGAACGTGAAAGGGGCTCTGGGATAACTCTGTGGACCATGTTTTTTCAGATATGGTGATAACAAATGGTAGATGCTTTATCATGGTGTTTTAATAGATTTTTGTTGTAATAATAATGCTAACATTTGACATTTAAACAATCTGATAACAACATATCATATGATGTGCATTACATTTGGTTGTCAAAGAATTGAAAACAACATTTAACTTGTCAGTGCTGCCAGGGGGACAAACTGATGACAAAACTGTTTCTAATTATCTAAAACATATCTCTGTCATTTCTTACTGTTACTGTTGTTTCTAGTTATTTAATGGCCAAAAATCTTCTATAAATATATATATACATATATCTATCCATATAGATAGATATATATCAGACAGGCTTATATATCAATATATAATTTCCACTGTTTTTTCTGACAGGTCCAGACATTTTATTCCTACAACAACAGAAACACAGTTGGACTGCTTAACATTGTACACATGATGCCTCCACAATTTGAAAAGGCTTACTTATGCTTGCAAGTGAAATGTCAGAAAAATTTGTGAGGATGGGTATAATGCAAATGGAGTGTAAAGATATTCGGTTTATGTATTAGCAGTAAAGTGCAAAACAATAATGTCCACAGAATCAAAACACTGAAGACCCACGGCCCAGTAGGCAGAGGGCTTGACCTAGTCAAGATATGGATGTGTTGGTGTATGTGTATGGGGGTGGTTTTGTAAAAACAGTCATGCTTATTGATCCCTTCACTGACAGATTCAGTTGAGAGGAGAGAAAAAGCAGGGATGGAGCGAACTGAGCTTTTGGACTTTGAGAAAAGCAAGGGTTTGCACTGACACGACCACTGTGTGGGTTTCTGTGTTCACAGGGGAGCTGACACAGTGGTTTTTACAGCAGAGCTGTGAGAGAGACTGACCCTTCAACATTTCTCTATTAGGTAATGTATAACTTTTAGTTCATGTAGTTCTGAAATTAATGATCAGACGACTCAAAACTCAATATTACTGTAGGAGTAAGAGATCAAGGAAAGCACTGAGTTATTACAACAACATAATACATGAAATACTTTCTGGGTAGGTGACCTAACAAACATGTTTCGCTTTTTTTCATCATTTATTTATCATTTATTTCCAGAGTCACATTTAAATGTAATTAAGTGTTTAACTGATGTAAAAGGTGTTTTAAAAAGGTTTCAACGGCTGGTCTTATCAACCCAAATACTGTCCAGCAGATGATGAAAATGTATGCCTTTTTTTTTTTTTCTTCTTCTTCTTTAGGGTGCTACGATAACACAGCCATGCCACCCCCAGCTGACATCGTGAAGGTGGCTATTGAATGGCCGGGTGCTAATGCTCAGCTCATCGAGATGGACCAGGTCTGTATTTGTGTAAAACATGATGTTAAATACATCTCCAGTCTGCCTCTAGTGACTCAACCTCTGCTGGCTGTTAGGGGCCTCAGAGAGTGATTTGGTCATTAAAGGGTGACATTATGCATATTGGCTCGTTTTGAGTGTGAAAGACATGAGTAATGCTGAGATGTGTTTTAGTGATACAGAATACCTGCACCTGTCATGACAAGAAACTTAACAAATTTTGCCTTTTTAAAATGATATGCTCTTGTGACAAACTGACGCTGTTCACATATTAATTAAACTTGGCAGTATTAGTAGTGATGATTTATAATTCAGTTCAATTTAATGTTTTTGCTTCTTTGCAATGTTTTTTTTCTCTCTCTGCAGAAAAGACCTTTGTCCTCAATAATACGGGAAGTATGTGATGGGTAAGAATTATTCCCCCATATTCTTATATTTGTCTCATGATTTTTATTATCTTACCAAATGACTGAATATTAACAAAATTGCAATGTATTATATTCTTTGGTCTTTCCTATATTTTACCTAAGGGAATTAAGAACCTTTACTTATATTAAGAGTGAGAATTAGCTAAAGATGCATTATTTGATTAGCACAGTCAGTTTAACTTTTTTTTGCATCTTTGTTCAAAAGTTTTCTCTTTTGCATAACAGCAAATGATGTCCGATGTTGACAGTGATTTATCTGGTCTATCTGGTCTTGACTCGATTGGTTGTCGTAAGAAACAGTAGAAGCTCTGAATGAAAGAAGCGACCCAACTCTTGCTCTGTGCGCTACATCAGTAACCGAATGTGCTTTAAATCAGAAAAGAGGATTTTTAAAAAAAATTAGTTTAACCCTCTCAGGTAACACTCCGAGAGTTATTTTTTAACAACACTAGATAGCAACAACCAGTTTAACTTGTTTATTAACCCTCTGAGGGGGCTGTGGCTGTGCTGCCTGCTGGTTCAGGGTAAACAACAGCATGTCCGGAGAGAAAAAATGTTTTTACTTCTACTTATGTTTTAATGAGTCAAAGCAGAATGAGTGTTCTGCATTTTTGATAGAAGTGTGTTAAGTGTGTTACCTAGCAATAAAATATGTGCATGTATGTTTGATGCAGGTGTTAAACTTGAAATCCCCAGTGTCCATTCACAGTTGGTGCAGTTGTGTAGAGACCAGTTTTATCACAGCACTGGGGTGGTTCACACGCTGAGATAAGATGTGACTGTTGATGAATGATAAAACCATTTTTACCCACTGTTTTTTCCTTATCGGTCATCATTTCCTCTTGTGTTTCTTCCTGTCCGTTTGGGCTTCACTGCTGTCTTTATTTTCTTTTCTTTTGTCTTGTACTTTACTGATGAATATTGCAAATTTTTATCTCACCTATCCACCTCTTGCCTGTGGTGTATCTACCCACTGCCTCCCTTTTTCATTTTTCCATTTGAAACAGAGAATTCTTTGCACTTTTCTGTTAACACCCACTGAGTAACTCTCCTCCACAATCTCTGTTTGCCTCTCGGTGTAAATACAACTGCTGGAGGGAGCAAGCTGACTTTCCACAACCTTTTGTTCATGCATACTAGAGTATGCTGCATTATAACACTCCTGCATTATGTTCCTCTTATTCTGTGGTTCTTATTTAACACTTACAATGAATTTAACTTTTTCTCTCTGCCGTTTTCCTCAGCTGGTCTTTGTCAGGCTCAGAGCAGTTTGCTCTGCGTTATGCTGATGGCCCTCAGCTTTATATCACTGAGCAGGTGAGCTTCACTGTTTTCTTCCTAACTTTGTGTTGATGACTTTAATGATGTTGATCACTGGTGAACTTTAACTAAAATTCCTGCTTTATTATATTTTAGAGCCGTGGTGAAATCAAAAATGGGACCATCCTTCGATTAGCCATTTCACCTGTGAGTGACGCTTGTTTATATTCCTGTTCACTTCTACTCTGTTAAAACGAGGTCAGCTCTTAGTACATTGAGTAACTGGTGTGTATGTTAGCTCTTGTTCAATTCTCTAATACTTATTTTGTAGCAACTACAAAAGGTTTGCACACATGAAAATCACCACACTCAGGTCCATGTCAGATTTTTTGATTTTTGTACCTCTAAAATTCACCTTGCAAGTTTCCTTTCAGGACACACTGATCTGAACTCCTTAAGCAAAGTGTCAGTACATCATGCTGGGAGAGCACTGCAAGTTAATGAGATTTTTCATGGCTACTAACAGCAGCCTTTAACACTCTTAACAATAACCTATGATAATTTTATATTTCTAATCCCCACCCTGCTTCCATGTGTATTGTGGATGCACTTTATACCTCCATCACCAAAACACCGAAAGTGTCACCAAAGCGCTGTGGCCTTGGCTGTGCTTTAAAGGCCAACATTACTGTACTTACTAATAATATTAAACTCAGCAGGTACATCACTGAGAACTGGGAATGTGGTAACTTTGCAAAAGAGGAAGTCAGATGGGGCCAGAAACACGAGCAGTCAGACCAGCAGACAAGTTTTAAACTGTCCTGAGTTAGTCTTACTTATTATGTCAATTCATAAAATTATAAACCCAAACTTCTCACATAGTTCATAGACCGACTTTGACCATTCATAGTTAACTTACTTGTGCATATTATTAGTCTCTGTGCCTTAACTCCCAAAAATAGAGCTTGAAGATCTCTTGTTAGCCTTTTACAGTCATCTAAACACTAAAAAATGTGTGGTACGTTATGCCATTTGTTAATGAACCATGTTGAGTTGAAGATGCAGTGACACTTCACTCACCTGCCATTACATAAATCATGACACGTGTACTGCCTTGGTTAGATTTTAGTCTAATTAAATTTATTAAAATTAATTTTAATTATTTCACTTTTTTTTTTTTTTTAATTTCCTCAAAATGCAGAAAGACTGAAAAAACTTCTTGCACCCTGTTAAGTGACAGGTTGTAATTTTTCAGTTGCTCATGTGACAGACAGTTAGCACTTATAGTTATTTCTCACTGAAGGTACGTATATGGTGACAGTCCCAATCACTGTTCAAATACATAACGCCAACAGAATGTACAAAAACATCAGGAAACTTCTCTTAAGTACTTCTGACCTGAGGCACAGCCTTAACATCACAGCTCAGTGGTAAACTTATCCTGAAGGTGATGTTTTCTTCTGGCTGACAGGCTCGTGCTGCTCGTCAGCTCCTGGAGAGGATCCAGTCCCACGGTATCGACGCTCGCCTCGAGGCTCTGAAAGAGCTCGCCAAGCTGTCTGCAGACCCGACCTTTGCCACAGAGTTCATCAATATGGAAGGCATTGGGACACTGGCACGTCTTGTAGAGAGTGGCACCCAGTGAGCACAATTTTTGTTTTTTGACAGTGGGGTCCAAAAGTCCTATTCACTTGAATGGGAAATTAGTCTCGAAGTCTAGACTTTTGGACCCCACTGTATTTTGCACATTAATGACAGTGTAATGTATTTTCAGTGTAGAAGTCTTACGTTACTGACTTAACCTCCATTTATGTTGGAAACAGTGAAGTCTATGTTATTGAACCCATGATTCTATTTCTTTATACATATGTGTCAGATAATGTGAAAAGGTACTGTACCTGTACTGATTGCTCTTTACTCCCTTTAGCTTTGGTGAAATGCTGGCCTTCACTCTCACTGCCTTCCTGGAACTAATGGATCATGGCATTGTGTCCTGGGACCTGATCTCGCTCTCCTTCATCAAACAGGTACCTCCATGAGCAAAAGAACAGCTCATCTGACACATTAGAGTTTCTTAGAGACCCTGGACACAAATTTCCACAGTTTTAAATATCAAGGTCTGACTTTTTATTCATTTTTATTCACACACTTTTATTTAATTGCTTGACCTTCCTTTTGTCCTACGTGCTGAAAATGAGTGGGTGCTGTTGCCTGGCAACTCCTCACATTATTTGGAGCTCCTTCAGTGTGCATGTGGCTAGTTTCCTTCTGAAGACTTCAGTTTGGCTTTGACAGTTACCCAGGGGAAACTTACTGAACTCTTCATTTAGTTTTCTTTTAGAGAAAATTTAACTTTTTTCTTTCAGAAAGAAGACACCACTTGATTTTCATATTTTAACTTTTTTACTTTTAAGCATTACATAAGCTTATATTGGTTTGACACAAGCACTGACTGAGCTCAGAGTGAGTTGCGTCTCCTCTGTCCCCTCTCAGATTGCCGGCTATGTGAACCAGCCAATGGTGGATGTGTCCATCCTGCAGCGTTCTCTGGCTATCCTGGAGAGCATGGTCCTTAACAGCCACAGCCTCTATCATCGAGTGGCACAGGAAATCACCGTGGGACAGCTCATCGGGCACCTGCAAGTGTGAGCACACACACACGCACAGGGGCTTCCCGCGCTCTGATATGGGGGGCAGGGGAGTCAATGTAGCAGTGTGGGGTAACTTAAGAAATGGAATATAGTGAAATTTGCCATGATGTTAAGCTTGTGGCACTAATTAAAGGGTGTGTTCAGGATGCTTAGATAACCTCAGTCAATTTTGTTTTTCTTGTTTTCACTAGATCCCATGAAAAGACCAAAACCAACAATGTGTTAGTGTGTCTGTCAATACTTTTTGGCTCCTCTCTTCTGTTATTTGATCTCAGCCCCAGTAGAATTGATTATAATCTCAACAAACAGGTCACATGTACATTTCATGTATGTAATTTCCTAACAGCTGGGCACTGTAGTTTTCAGTAGCTGTTGCTCAAACAGGAGTAATTAGTTGTTAGGGACTACTTTCAGCGGTGGATTAATACACATTTTCTGCTCTAGTGAGTATTTACAGCAGCAGGACACTGTATTTGGGATTGACTCAAAATAAAATAAAATGCCCATATTAATCATAATGATGGACCATATCACCCAGTGCAACAGTGTGTCTCACTGATATGTTCTTAATAGTTTTTAGACAACAGCACAGAAAAATAAGCTATATTAGGTTTCAGCTACTCAGAAAGTACTCGTTAATATGATCAATTCATTGTTGGTTTTGGTCTTTTTATGGGAATATAGATATTGCCAATGACCTTGTAATATTTCCAAGATAAAATTAAAAATAACAATTATAGAAAATTGTTGGTGTCTAAAAATCCCGCACTCATCTCAGGTATTGGTAGTCATAGCAATAAAAGTTAGATTTATTGTAAAGTAGCATAGTTGTTAGCCTGTAGTTTGAACTCTGTGTGGAGATTTGTGGAGCATGATGCTTCTAACTGGTTGGTATGATTCTGGATAATTCTTCAGGTCAAACCAGGAGATCCAGACTTACGCCATCGCCCTCATCAATGCTCTTTTCCTGAAGGCACCAGAGGACAGGCGACAGGTCAGTGCACAGCAGTCACAGCACAGCGTGCTGTATTAGAGAAAAGGACTGAATACACATAATAGATAGACCTAAGTGGAATACTAATAATGTTCCATTCTCATATTAGCTGCCTCACCGTGGCTGGTAATTTTTGCAGCAGTAGGTTAGTTGAGGCTAATCTCATAAATAGACGTCTGTCTGCCAGCTGTCATGTTGTGGATTCTGTCTGACAGTCATTGCTGTAATGACACACTCTCTCAAAATAGTACTCACCTTGCTTTGAAGTTTGTACATTTGTCATGCTGCAGTTATTTCAGAACAGCGTAGTGAGGTAGACCTGCCACCCAGCTGTAACTGACAAAGCGTTTGGAAGAGATCCAAGCATGATGCAGTAATTAAGGATTTATTTTTAGGTTAAATTCAATGAAAAGTGCTTATTTTTTATTAAAGTCAAAAATTGTTCTTGATGCCATTCAGTAGTACATCACATACTTTTACTGTGCGGAGTGTAAAATATAACTCACATGGGGATAAATTGATAACAACCTGGCTCTGTTAGCAGTGCAAGCAGAAATGAAGAAATATGGCATAAACAATTATTCAGATGCATCCAAATGTACAAAAATTTAACATTTGGTGACGTGATGTTGAAAGCTGCAGCTGTTTAAAATTCATATTCACATTAAAATCTTACCTCTCAGCGTGATTTAAGAGTTACAAAAAACAAACCAACGTATCTGGAATCTGAAATATCCTTAAAGCACAGACAAATGTACAAAAACTAAAGGCGTGAGTGCTTTTTTGGATGTCTGTCAGTATGTTACTGATCACTTATGTCTCATTTCCTGTGCACTGCTGCACTCACTCTGCAATGATAACTTTTTTCCTAGCTCACATAGTTCACTAGCACACTGCAGTGCTTCACCCTGTTCCATGCACTATTTTGTCCCTGTGTGTGATTCGTTTCTAAATGTGATTTGTCAGTTAGTTTGTCAGCATGTAAAATACAATCTTTACAGTTGAACATGTGTGAACAGTTTTAACACAGTTCTGTTAGAAAGCCATTCTGCTATCATGCATTCAGTGGAGAAAATAATATCTTCAGGATTGAACTGGAGGAAAATATGGAGGATAAAAACATTACATGGTATTACCTGCATCCTGCAACCTGCAGGTAAAACAATAATAATTTTGTAGCAGATGTGTACAAATAACTAAAAAGTTATATTTTCAGATGAACTTACATTATAGATCTCTTTCTCTAACATAATACAACACTTAAAGTAATAAAGTAAATCGCATTTAATGTATAAAGTGGAAATATTAGTTCGGCCTACAAGTGTGTGCCCTTGGGTTAAATCAGGAGCCCTATTTACATATGTTGCCTATGTATGATGTTCCTTTTTTTATAATTAGTTTCTGTAGTAATAACTAAATACTGGCAGATGTTACAAAGCAACAACATAAAGTGGAGGAGACAGTAATAGGTTGAGGTGTCATTCTGAATTACTGTAAAAGCTGTGTTTGCTTCAGTAACTGTAAACCGCCACTTGACATTACATTTAGTACAGTACAGTAGAAAACATTTCCAATCCAAAATTCTATACTGTGTTACAGGGAGAGTTTTCCTTGAACATACATTCTTCTTCAGCTGCTGCAGTTAATGACCACTGGAGGGCGAACTGAGTCAGTTCCAGTCACAGACTGTGTGTGAGGTTCAGTGAGATAAATACAGCAGAGAGGAAAACAGCACATGCTGCATGTGGCTGGCACTGTTGAATTAACAGTATTAAGAGTCCAATACATCGGACTGTTGGCTTCTCACTCCAGTGTTTTTTTTTTTTTTTTTTTTTTTTTTTATTATTGGGCAGTTTTTTTATCTACAGTGATGAAAATCCTCTGCAGATCAGGGGCACATGATAAACATCTCTGCCAAGGGAGCTGCCAGGACACCACAGTGATTTCCATGCATAAATATTGGTTTAAAGATCACCTTTTCTTCCGTGGGTTGATACAATTTTCCAGCCCTTAGGTTTATGAAATCCTTTCAAAACCAGTTGGAATAAACCAATAAATATGTGGTTGTCAGATGTATCAGGCATGTTAGGATTTTTTTTAAAACAGATACCTGCATTTGTCGTGACTACTTGAGGTTCTTATTTGACATTATGCTGTTTCATGTCCTTATTCTGTTGCATGCTGTGCCGGTGATGTATCCCTGTATCTCATGGTCCGTGTGTGCACTCTTTGTTTCCATTACTGTTACACCCACGTCCCTCCTCCCTCCCTTCAACCCGTAGGAGGAGTATACTAACCCGCTGGAGCAGCACCTGACTGTGAGTACGCATCCCTCAGCATCTCATACCATCCTGTCCACCCCACAGCCCTTCCCCTCCTTCACTCTCTAGCTCTTTCTGTGTCATGACAAGCCACTGCATAATCCATGCCAGTTGAGATAGAACCATGGCTTGCTGCAGCAGCAGACAGACTGTGTTGACATATGGAAGTTACACCATGTTGTCATGTTTTACAGAAGGTGCAAAGGGCATACGGTTCAAGCCACTGATGGAAATGTAGCTTCAGGGTGTTGCTGCATTTCAGTAATTGTTTAAAATTCCCATTTTCCGTAGATAGATTTCAATTATGTCTTTGCACTTTTTTTGCTGTTTTTAGTAAAGCATCTTCCCTCACCTGAACTGTGTGTTGGATTTGTTGTATCTCTTACACTCAGGAAATGGCAAGCACTTTGGCCCAGAAACACCTGCGATCCATCATCCTCAATGTGAGTATCAAGTGTGAAATGTAGAAAACAAAGTGTTCCTGGCTAATTCAGCTGCACATCGGAGTTAACGCTCTCCTCTAATTGGCTATTGAGCTTTCAGACAGCTGTGAACACAGACTTTGAGCAGTTCCCAGGGATTGTGTTTGAAAGTAGTCTGTATTAAAACATTGGAAAACTTTATTAAACACTAAATATTTCTGTTCAACCTTCTTTGAGACTGTCCTCTGTTGGGCTTGGTGGCAAGCAGTTCAGAAAGTGAATAAGTGAAGAAGTGAGTAAAATATGTACTCATTCAGAGAGCTGTGACACAGAACCAGCAAATAAGATATGGCACGAAGTCCGTGGAAGTGGAGCAAAATCTGCTCGGAAAATAATTCCTTTTGGCACCATCTGGAAGTGACTGACTGAACTGGCTCCAAATGTCAGTGAGGAAGATGCTGCACTCCTGCCTCCTGTAACAAGGAAACATTCCTGGAAATGCTCCAGCAATGCATGCTCTGGTGGACTGTTCGATGAGACCTGGTTACCTGCTGGATGCTCGCAGTGTCTGTGTTATCGCCTGTTCTAAGGCCGAATCATTTTCATTGTTTTGTATTGAGCGTAGTCAGTCCATAAAATGATTGGCATTTCTCTCTTGAATCTTCAGGTGATTTTTTAGACTTTGCAGATGCCCTTCAGCGTGTTATCAAAGGAGAAGTTATCAGGCTTTCCCTTTTATGTTACAGGGGGCAGATTTGTTTTGTGCTGTGTGATTTTTTTCTGTGCATGCATTACAGCCTATGTGGAGATTCTGCTCTTAAGTCAAAGTTCCTCTTTTCCAGCACGTTATAAGAGGAAATCGACCAATCAAAGCAGAAATGGCACACCAGCTGTATGTGCTGCAGGTGTTGACCTTTAACCTTTTGGAAGAACGAATGATGACCAAAATGGATCCCAATGACCAGGTAAAGATTTCAATAATAATTGTTATTTTCTTGATGCTGCGTAGACTGATTCCTGCACCATTAAGTACAACAAAACAAATGCAGATTTCCCCCTAGGAACCTATAGCTAATATCACCGTTAAACATTGTGTTCTGCCGACCGCTGACTGCTGATTCACCTAACTTTTTTTGGGGTTTTTCTTATTGTTTTTTTGCTGTTATGCTAAAAGTTTAACTATTTTTTGCTGATAAAATATCATCTTGCTGTGGCTCAGGCCCAGAGAGATATCATTTTTGAGCTGCGTAGGATCGCCTTCGATGGAGAAAATGATCCCACTGGTACAGAGAAAAGAAAGGCGATGTACACCAAGGACTATAAGATGCTGGGTTTCACTGTGAGTCTTCAGTCCAGGTTTCAGTTTCTTCTACTTTTTGATTTATCGGAATAAATTGAAACACGTCAAAGTTACATAAACCTTTCTTTCTCATACACAGAACCACGTGAACCCGGCTATGGATTTCACCCAGACTCCTCCAGGGATGCTGGCTCTGGACAACATGCTGTACCTGGCCAAAGTTCACCAGGACACGTACATCAGGGTTAGTTTTGGCCTCAGGCATGACTTTTGCTCAGCTCTCAAAGGCGTAGAAGTCAGCCACACCTAACATGTCTCCTCCCTCATGACAGATTGTCCTGGAGAACAGCAGCCGAGAGGACAAGCATGAATGTCCCTTCGGTCGGTGTGCCATCGAACTCACTCGAATGTTGTGCGAGATACTCCAGGTTGGAGAGTTGCGTAAGTAGATCTGTAATCAACAAGAGGAGTAGCTGTTTTACTTTTATTAATCTGTGTCCTAATGGTTAAGGCACAAACCACATAACTGCAACGTCCACAGTTCGACTCCCAGCCAGGGGATGCTTGCTGCTTGTCATACTCCTCTCACTCTGGCCTTATTTCCTGTCTGTCTCTAGACTGTCAGCTTTTGGCAAAATGCCAAAAAAAAAAAACTTTAAAAAGAGACAAGACATGAGATCAGATAGTGAGAAAGAGAAGAAGAAAATGCTTCTTTCACACCAATAGTTTTATTTTACAATTAAAATCATTCCTTTCATGTAGCTAACGAGGGCTGTAACGACTACCACCCCATGTTCTTTACCCATGACCGGGCATGGGAAGAGTTCTTCTGTGTCTGCATCCAGCTGCTTAACAAAACCTGGAAGGAGATGAGGGCCACAGCTGAGGACTTCAACAAGGTCTGAGATTAAAGCACTCTTTAACATATTCATATTTACATACATGTGTATATTTATAAACCACTCACGTGTACTTGCCTCCTATCCCAGACCTCACAGATATACAGTATATAGTGGCTTCAGAAAGTATTCAGACCTCTCCATTTTTTGTACACTTATTGTGTTGTAGATTTCATTTTGAATGGATAAAACTGTCATTTTAGTCCAACACTACTGTCAGTGACCCATGTGTTTTTAGAAATCTATTCAGACCCGTTGCTGTGGCACTCCAAATTGTGGCCAGGTGCGTCATGTTTGCTTCCTTTTCCTTGAGAGGTGTCTAGAACTTCACTGGAGTCCACCTGTGCAAATGGAAAGGCACACTCGTGTATATGAGGTCCCACAAATCATGCAGCAGGACAAAAACCAAGCCATTAAGTCCAAGGTACTCTCCATAGACCTCCAGGATAAAATTGTGTAGAGGCATAGATCAGGGAAAGGGTATAAAACCAAGCTTTGAGTGTTCCCAGGAGCACAGTGGCCTCAATAAATGTGAACTAAATGTGAAAGTTTGGAACTGCCAGGACTCTTTCTAGATTTGGCTGTCAGGCCAAACTAAGTAACTGGGCAAGAAGGGAGGTGACCTGCTGGAGGGACGATCATCTCTGCAACACTCCTTCAATCAGTCCTTTATGGTAGAGCGGCTAGATAGAAGCCAATGTGAGTTAAAGACATACTGCATTTGAAAGAGTTTGTGAGTATGAGGAAAAAGATTGTGTGGTCTGACGAGACAAAAACTGAACTCCAAACACCATGTCTGGTCAAACACTGGCTCATCAAACACTGGCTCATCAAACACTGCTCATCCCTACGGTGAAGCATGGTGGTAGCAGAGATTGATCCAAGAAGACTCAAGGCTGTCAAAGAGGCTTCTTCAAAGTACCCACCAAGTATCTGAATACTTTGATTTTTAAAAATCTAAAAACATATTTTTCCGTTTGTCATGGAGTGTCATGGAGTGTAGACTGATGGACATACACGGCAGGTGTACAAAAAGTGAAGCAGTCTAACACTCGCCACTGTATACAACAATGGATATGACAACCTTCAGAAAAAGAGAGCTGAACTTGTTATACAATAAAATCTTCTCCTATGTGTTTGCTGACACTGCCCTGAACTCTTATAATTTAAAAAGAGGGCACAGATGAACCACGAACAATACACTGTAATTGTTTAGGCTTCTTCAAAGGAATGTACTGGACTGTAAAAAAAAAGAAAAAAATTGCATTAATACGAATCTTATTCAGTGTTATTGCTGTCAGAGCCAAACAGCCAAATATGCCATCTACTCTGCCTACGCTTACTTGAAATCCTTAATTAAATTGTGAATTCACATAACTAATTCAAAAGAGAGGACTGGAAAACTTAACTGTGAACTTTTGAGTGTCACAACAGCGACAACTCCACTTTTGTCAAATTTTTATTTAAGGCGCATTTAATTAGTTCCAAGAAAAAAGCAGAGTCTACATGTCATCATACACTGCTACTCAAGTGATTTTTGTGTGAAAAGCAAACATGAGAAGCTTTCAGAAGCTTGTTTACAGTCGCTGACCCTAATTACCAAATACCTGCCATCTGTCCATACGAGGTTCGCTCAGTGCGAACGTGAGCAATGTCAGCCTTCATGTTTACGCACACATCTCTTAACTACTGCTGCTGCTGTGTTCCTCTGCTGTGTGCGACTGAGCGGCCCACTGAAGCAGACGGCTGAAAGGTTTTTAGTTTATTAAATAATGCACGATAATTACATTCTTACTGCTTATCTAGACAGTCACTGAAATGAACAAGAATCAATTGTTACAGAGCAGACAGACCATTTCGTATATATATTTTAAATATTGATGCCTTTAGATGGGGAGCGATGTCTACCCAGCAGGGTGAATTTCTAAAATGGGAAAATAATGGTTCTGTGAATTACAACTCTTAACAATATTCACGGGTTCACTGAAAACCAACGCTTTTCCTCACTTCACACCACGTACGCTCGTGTGTGCGTTAACCCTGACCAGGTGATGCAGGTGGTCCGCGAGCAGATCACCAGGGCTCTGGCGATGAAGCCGTCGTCTTTAGACCAGCTGAAGAATAAACTGCGAGGCCTCAACTACTCAGAGATCCTGCGTCTGCGGCAGTCAGAGAGAATGAGCCAGGATGACTTCCAGTCTCCACCTATCATGTAAGTCTGTGTCTACGCTATTTCTACTGTTACTCTATTCCTACAGTCTTAACCTGCATGTTTCTGCCATTTCTAGATCTTCACGCAGTCGTGAGAAGTGTAATTTTGACAAAATGAGCATTACCTCACTTAGCAACTAAAGACTCAGCCTTTTACTCTTCTGTTAGCAACAGACTCTGTTGCTGCTCTCAAATCTGCACCCAGCTCCGTCATTATAACAGTAAATAGTATAGCATTGTACACATTTCTGTGCACGTGTTTCATCCTGTTGCTCACGCTGTGTTCGTGCCGCAGTGAGCTGCGGGAGAGAATTCAGCCCGAGATTTTAGAGCTCATCAAGCAACAGCGACTCAACCGGCTGTGTGAGGGCAGCTGCTTTCGTAAGCTGGGGAACCGCCGAAGGCAAGGTACACCCCCTGTCAATACAGTCACCTTGGTTTTTACTGCTGCTGTTGATTATCAGCTAAGCATTGTTTTCCCTGTCTCTGTCTTTTGTAGAGAAGTTTTGGTTCTGCAGACTCTCGCTGAATCACAAAGTGCTGCACTATGGGGACCTTGATGAGTCTCCTCAGGGTGAAGTGCCTTTTGAACTCCTCAGTGACAAAAGTAAGTGAAACCTTTAATATGTCCAAGTGTCTCCGTGTTCCAATTACTGACACAAATCATGACACTGTCCCTAACAGATCTTAAATAAATAGTTTTTTTTGGATTCCTCCTAGTCCCCGTGTCAGACATCAAGTCTGTGGTAACCGGGAAGGACTGCCCTCATATGAAAGAAAAAAGTGCTCTGAAACAAAACAAGGTAGTATCATTTTTTACCTTTTTCTATTGTCATTCTAGTCACTTAGCTGTTCTCTTGTTTTTTGCTGTCTCTCAGCGTAGGAACAGTTGTTTGACCTGTTTGATTCTCTCAGGAGGTGCTGGAGTTAGCCTTCTCCGTCCTCTACGATCCAGATGAGACGCTCAATTTTGTTGCACCCAACAAGTATGAGGTAAGCTCAGCAACAGTGACGCTTAAGGCTGCTCTACTCAGTGATTTTTATACGAACAGTGGGATAAATATGTGGAATTGAGGAGATGTTGCTCCCAGTGATGAAGCCATAGAGAATTAACTGTAGGGTTACAGCCCTGTAGACTGTTTTTGTATGACTTCTTTCAGCTGTTTTGATTTTCCACCACGCAGCTTTACTGCTTTGGTTCACTCTCACAGGCAGAAAAAGCTCTAACTTTATACTACTTGCTCAGCACCAAATAGAGAAAGTTTGCAACTAGATGAATATAGTGGAGCAGCTAAAAAGACAGATATTTGCCTCAGGACTTGGTGGAGACCAAAAATAGGGAGTGAAGAGAGTGAACATTGGACTTACATTCATTAAGTGGTCACAAACAGCACTTCAAATGATTGATAATGTTGCTCCCTGTCTGTTGTACATGTAAATAGGCAGCTGTTTCCGAACTTAGGATGGTCATAATACGTATGTATTGTGTTGTCAGCTTGTTCTGCTGCGCCCCAGTGTCCAAACTATTCATACTACTTTAACTAAAATAGCTTTGACTCATTGTTATTATTATCCAAAAAAACAAACAAAAACCAATTAGCTGCTCAGTCAGAACCATGCAAATTTAATTTCCATTGAGTTTGATATTTGCATATATTTGCATGGCTTATATACTAAGGGACACTACACCTACAGTCACTCATTTTTAAACCTACTGTGACTAACACTTTGGACACACCATCTCAGCCTTCATGGATGCTCCTGTGTGTGTGTGTGTGTGTGTGTGTGTGTGTGTGTGTGTGTGTGTGTGTGTGTGTGTGTGTGTGTGATGTTTTTGGAGCAGTACTGCATCTGGACTGACGGGCTGTGTGCGCTGCTGGGCAGAGAGATGGGCAGTGATCTGACGCGCAGTGACCTAGATACTCTCATCAGCATGGAGATGAAGCTCCGCCTCCTCGACCTTGAGAACATCACGATCCCAGAAGCCCCGCCCCCTGTGCCGAAGGAGCCTAGCTCATATAACTTCACCTACAACTACAGCTGAGATGCGTGCATGTATGTGCGCGCAAGCACGCGTGTGTGTGTATGTGTGTGTGTGTGTGTGTGTATGCGCACGTTTGCACTGCATGTGTGTGTTTGTCAAGGATGAGTATACTCCATCTTTTGATGAATTTACCCGCAAGTGTGTGCACCAGAAAAGGCTACTTTGAATTTTTTTTTTAGTTATCAGAACCCTGGAGACTTCTCTTCATCTCCATGTTTGTGATGCTGTATGGTTCGTCAAATAGAAGACATTTGTTTATAGCTTCACAGGGAGATCAGAGGTCAGGGTTCATTACAGAGCAGTGCTCCTGGAGTTGGTAGAGATACAGTGAGTCTCATTTATCAATGCAATCTCCAGGCCACATCTTGATTTGTATAAACCTGCCTGTAAAGTCGAAAAAAATAATACTGTGCCTGATGGCGATTATAGATTAAAAAAAAAAAAAAAAGCTGTACAAATCTGCTAATTAGACATCATTTGAGTATGTTTCAGTCAAATTGAGGCTTATTTGATCAATCAAGCCATGTGTGTGGTCTCCATGGTAACACAGGATGAAGTAGCTACCATTCCAGTTTAAATACTGCGGTCACTTCGATTCTGTCTGCACCTTGACATGAAGGACGTGCACTAAATGGGGGTTCAAAGTTTACACACCCATAGAACGTAATTGAGATTCAGCCTGCATGTTGCTCAAGGTCACTTCAGCTGGTTAAATGATGCTCTCCCTAATTGGTCCTATATCCTGTTTCCTATGGCACACTCATTAATATTGAGATATCTGGTGATGTTTATTATTGAACAACTTAGAAAAAAATGTGTAGGAATTAAGCGATGAAGAGGAGAAATGAACGAAATAGTTGAGGTTGCAAAGATAATCTCTTTCTCACAATTTGTTTGTAACCATCATCATGTCTATCAGACTGGGACAGAACAGTGTAGGGCTGCAACTAATGATTATTTTCATGATTGATTAATCTACAGATGAATGTATCTTTTTCTGTATTAGTTGATGAATCTTTTGAGACAATAATCTAAATATGAATAGATTATTAATTATGAATTGAATCTATAAAATGGTGATAAATCGTAAGAATCACCATAAGAACCCAGAGTCCAATTTGACATATTTAACTTGCTTGTTTTGTTCCAAAACCCAAAGATATTCAGTGCGCTGTTTATGAGAAACCAAGACAACCAGCAAAGACTCATATCTGAGAAGAATTTTGGCATTTTTGCTTGAATCATGATACAAACAATGAAGTGTTTGTCAACATTTTTTCCAGTTAATTGTTTATCGATCAGCTGGTCAGTTAATGGACTGATTCATGTACACTATATACACTGCGTATATATGGCTTCTGTTTATCAACATTCATGCTGCTTCGAATTGTTTGACTCAATTCTCTCCTCAGATTAATACACCTTTTCACACCCTGGTAAACAGTGTGAGTAAATATATCCCACTGAACTGAAACTGTTCAAGTGTGTGATATGGGCTAAGTCTTGAACACGCTCATGCCTACCATATATGTGTCTGTGTGTTTGTATCTGTGTGTCTGTGCGTAAAGGTTTAATGTGTGTTGTTTATGTTAAAAGATTTAAGGAATGAACTTAATGTTCCATGATGGAAGTCAGAGTCAAAGCTCTGACCTCGAACACATCCAAAAACATGAAACATGAACCTTTTCTGTGGAACCACCGTCACTGCTTTGCCTTATATTATAAGCAGCGTATGAACATTTTACAGTACAGAACAACTTACAGTACATTATAAGACAGTATGATGTAGTTGTAGCAGATATAACGACAATATTAAACATTTATTAATGTTTTTGTTAGCAACTATGACTTCTCCTATGAAGCCAATGTGTCTCCCCAGTGTTATATAATGGCTTATAACAATCTGTCTTGTCATAAAGCATTTATTAACTGTTGACATGTGCTGTACACATGTGCAGCAGTATTTATACTCCTGTTTAAAACTACTGAAAATATATAATTATATAAAGTTACAGCTTTGTTATACTTTGATGGCAAACATTCATGTACAATTTGCTTTATATCTGCTACATCTATATTATAGCGTAAGCCATTTATTAATTGTTTATATACTGGTTATAAATGCTAAATTGAGTCTGGGTTTAAATGAAGTGTTACCATATTTGGAAAGATTATAGAGATAAGTTCCAGTTATTTTTTTCTTTGGTACAGTGGTTTGTTTGAGACCAACTTTTACATTCCACGAGTGTTTGATGCCCCTGGTGTTTGAATTCATCAGCAGTTTTGAGTCTTGACTTCAGACCTTTTATCGCACTGTGCACAGGCAGAACAGAACTCAAAGGGACAAAAAAGCAGCTCTGTTGGCCTCTTTTAGTGCCAGAAGCCCTCAGATGAATGATTTAGTACTGCTCATGTATTATATGAGCATACAGTATTGTGTGCTTTGTATACAGTGGTAGAAATTACAGTACTATTGCTTGATGTCGTTTCATTTTAAATCCCCACAGTGTTATTGGTTTCAAACTTTTGTGTATTTTATTCATGCCACTCAGTGTCCTGTCACGTTGTCAACTGGTACTAAACAGTGCTATCATTTGTTAATGCAGAATAGAATTATATTTTTGTAAATGATTGTACAATCTGATCAGCTGTGAAGAGAATGGGTATCAAACGAATATAACACTTTCACTTTGCATCACTCTGTACACGTTGCTGTGGAGGGACGTTTCACATTGGAAAAAAATGTATCACATTTTTCAAACACATTTCAATCAAACCACAAGCACCTCATATCATTTAGGAATGACGCTCACTCCAGCACTTAATGATGATGTCAGTGTTTATGTAATGATTAAAAATTGCCACTTACTGTTCATGCTCTTTGTGAAAAGGAATATATTTGAGATTTGTTTTTTCAAATAATGTTTTTCTGTTTGATTCTTAACTGACATTGAAGGTTTTAAAAAGGCTTATAAAGGTTACTTTATATTCCAGTAAGTCACTGATCTCTTAATCTGCTCTCAGTAAATCTATCAATAACCACAAAATACAGCAGTGAGTAAAGGGTCGTTGCATTGGATGTACTAACAGTATGACTTGAAGTTTTCGTATCTTGTACTCTTTTACATGACTTGCTAAACTATTTATTTACACTTGCTAGTGATAGTAAAGAATGACATGTTGTTAGTTGACAAATAACAACATAAAATATGGTATACATATAGATCATTGTATGTATATACAGTATTGTGTTGCCTTATTGAAGGAGTTGTATTATGTTTTGTGTGAATAAATACAATGTCTAACTACTGTTGATAGTTCATTTCTATGCACAAATAATTTGCTGTATGTACCTTTTGTATTAAAGGCTCAGTTTGTAATTTATTCAACCACATACTATAAATTAAAGGTTTTAGAGTGTAAGTTTCAGATAGTAAGTAGATAGTTCATTGCAGGTAAAAGTCAAAATGTTATTCTGGGTATCAACAGCCAAAAATAAAAGCAGTAATTGTGGAGGCAGAATGTCCCCTGCCATTGTGTCATTCGATATCATTGGATTATTAGATTGATCCATTCCCATGTAAGTAGTGTTTTAATGTTGTATCTGGCCCATGTGGAACTAAATCTAATATAAAGTTTTGAAGTTTTATGTAAAGCAAAATCCCATATTAATAAGCTCATCTTATATTTGGTATGAAAAAGCTTAATTTGTAAAGTAACTACTAACCTCAGCAAAAGTCAAAGTATAAAGTAGCATAAGATGGAAAAAACTCAAGTACCTGAAGAATGTATTTAAGTACAGTGCTAGAGAAAATGTAGTTATCACAATTATTTCTGTTGTTATTTTTTCAATTATTTTATTAAAATCATTTTGGTTTTGTGCAAAAATCAATTTGAAAGCAATGGTGAAGTTGTTATGAGGCTTCATCAGTAGTTTAAGAGGCTTTTTTTAAAATCAAAATTATAATCTCTATAGTGATACAACACAAAAATTGATTTGACTTACACTACTCATATTACATAGGGAAGGGATCTCTTCGCTTCCAGTATGGAGAGGAGGAATGATTACAGTGGTCACTAACGAAAAAATGGGCACATGATTACATTAAATTACATTAAAATGGCTTGAAAAAAGTGAACCTGTAATTTACATTGTCTAAAGCCACTGCTCAGTTCCAGGTCTTATCCAGCAGGGGACACACCGCGTCCTTTGTTTACTGAGAAGGTGTCAGATGTCCTGAGCTATTATCGCACTTATTCCCACTGTGGAGCAACACCAATGCATACAGATGAGGAAGGACTAGATGCTGCAGACAGATCAGTAATATGAGACTTTTATATATAGAGTTTGGTGTAAGATCTGTCATCTGTCACATGATTTTTCCACTATATACTGTTTATGGATTTGATCTGCAGTCGAATAATTATCTTATTTTCAGTATAATCTAAATTCAGTTTGTAGAAAGAAAACAGACATAAACAGTAAGATTGTGTAAATTAAAAAGATTTTTATTGTATAATAGCTCAAAATAGAATTTAACACAATCACTTCTGGATCACTTTTATGCTGAAAGAGGATGTTGGACGTTAGGCAGGAAATCTGGATGAGTATACTGTCTATGCACGGCAAGATGGACAACCCATTCCAAGGTACTGAAAGCTAAGCAGAAGGGTTGTTTACATCAAACACTTTGATTCACAAAGCCCAAACAAGCAGGAAATTCATTCACTATCAGTCTCAAGGCAGAGTTTCATCTACATGGAGAAAGAATGGTTCAGTCTGTGGAACATGTAGACAGGAAACATGATCAAAATACCCTGGAGGTCTGAGCTGCTCTCTTCTGTAAATACCTGTGCTTGGATTGAATCAAGTTTTCTTCAGTTTCAGTCCAGTGGTCATCAGCAGCTCAGACTTGTTTCTCCTGTGTTCGCTTTGTACAGCAGGAGTATGATTGTCCAGTTTAATTTCCCTTGTTAGGGTTTAGGCATTCTTTACAATACATCTTAACACAGAAACAATGTCAATATATATTTTATACTGTATATAAAATAAATACAAATCTCTTTCTATACCATGTCTCTGATCTATGACTTTTCTCTACTAGCTGTGATTTTCAAAGTGTGTATTTGACATTTTGTATGTCTGTAAGTGTGTGTTTTTGTCTGTATTCGAGTGTCCACAGATGTAATTATCTCAGCAATCCTCGTTTATTTTACTGCTCCGCTTTGGCTGATGTTCGTTGCTCCCTTCTGTCTTTTGTTTGATGATCAGAGCCTTGGGACTTTCGATTTCCTGGAGGAGGGTGCTGTTGACCTTTTCTGGCCCCTCACTGGGCTGAGTGTCCCAGCCCTGTCCTGCCAGCAGCAGCAGTATGAGCGCCAGGAGCAGAAGTGTAACTGCTGTGGAGGTCAGCTCTGGGCTTAGCTGCAGGCCGGGCTCAGGCTCTGGGACATCCTTTGTCCTGAACGACACACACTGAGGCTTTCTGCTCTCTCTTGATCTCCTGTTGGCATGCTTGGCATCCTCACTGATCCCTAAATGTAGACACACGCGATAAAATGTCTCTGCCTGCAGGTGGGTCAGGTTGAAACTCTGTGTGCCAGCCAGGATGCGTGTGGTGTATGTAGGAGTGTTTGAGTATATGGCTTGCCAAGACAGGCGAGTTGAGGGGAGGTTGCGCCCGCTCCGCCAGGAAAGGATAGCGTAGTATTGTCCGACCTCCCTCACCTCCAACCTGGCATCCACGCTGAATAATGGAAATCTCTTCAGATTAGAGGACATTCCCCTTTTTCTTTTCTTTTCTCTGCTATGCACACCCACAGTAACACTGCGTGTATCTGCTCCCAGCGCATTCTCAGCAACACACGTATACAATCCCGCCTCGCTGGGAGTGACCTTGTTGATCTCCAGAGTTCCCTCAGGCAGTAGCCGGTAGTGTTTGGAAGGAACACAGGGAGTATCATCTTGAGCCTGGCCGTGAGAAACGCCGGAGGCAGATGTGTGGTTGAATCCTTTAGAGGCTGTCAGGCTGTGGCTGCGAGCAGGAGCTGGTAAACCTTTGGTTGCATGGCTGGGTGCAGGACCAAGTCTCAGCCCAGAGGGAGTCACCCAGTACAATTCCGGCGGTGGATCTGCAAGACCTCTACAGTGCAAAACCAATTTGCCTCCCTCTCTTACTCCTACATAGGAAGGGAGGGAGCTGGTGGGGATCATGGGGAGGCAGGAGGCCGACATCTCCCTGGAAGACACCTCTCTCACCCTTCGGGCTCGCAGCTCTGGTGGTTCAGAGCACAAGGTGGCCTGGGGTTGGATGAAACGCACCATCCGAGCTGCTTGTGTATCTGTTTGTGTGTCTTTCTCGGTGTGAGGGCGAGAGGCCTCCTTGGCGGCCCAGTGAAACAGGCAGTCACATCGTAGTGGGTTGGAGTGTAAGCTGATCTCCTGAAGCCTGGGCAGGGAGAGCATGATGTGCTGGTGCAGAGCGCTGAGAGAGTTGGAGTTGAGCATTAGGCTCTCCAGCCTGCTGAGCTGAAGGAACGCCTGCGGATGAATGTAGGACAGACGTGGATTGTTGGTGATCTCCAGCTTGGTGAGCTCTGGAAGATTCTCCAGGGCAGCTTTCTCAATAGAAACAAGCTCCTCCATGTTGTTCAGGCCGAGCTCTTTCAGGTGGATCATGTCCCGGAAATCTCCCGTCTCGATCAGTTTGATGCGGTTCTTGTTGAGGTCGAGGAACTTCAGTCCCGGCACTCTCCTCAGCGCCTGTGTGGGAACCCTGGTCAGCAGGTTATCATAGAAGGAGAGGCTCTCCAGGCCATCCAACCCTTCCAGTGCTTTTTCAGCCAGGCCTCTCAGACCCATACCACCAAGGACGAGACTCCGGAGGGATTTCAGGGCCAGGAAGCCTTGCTCAGGAAGAGCCTCTACAGGGTTTCCCCCAAGCATGAGAACTTCCAAGCGGGGCAAAGCCCTGAACCACCGAGGGTCAACGGTGGTGAGTCTGTTGTTGTTGATATGAAGACGCAGCAGGGAGTCCAGACCGGTGAAGGCCCCAGGTGCTATTGAGTGTAAGTTGTTGTGGCTGAGAAAGAGTTCCTGCAAAGCTGGCAGTGAGGAGAAGGAGGCCTCAGGGAGGTGACTGAGGTGATTTTCCTCCAGGTGTAGAGACAGCAGAGAGGGCAGGGATGAGCTCTGAGTTATTAACCTGACACGGCTGAAGCGATTCTGGGAAAGGTCAAGGTCGGTGAGGTTGGGGAGTCCGTGTAGCGCCACAGTGTTGAGCTCAGAAAGGAGGTTACTCTGCAGACGTAGGGTGTGTGTGTCCGGGGGTATGGGGAAGGGGAGCTTGGTCAACAGCAGGTCGTTGCAGTCCACAGTGGGAGCTTCATGGTAGACCGAATCAGGGGAGAACCACGGCTTGATCTGGCACACGCACCGCACCGGGCAGGAGACATGCCATGGTAGTGCGTGAGGTAGCGAGCCCACCGCAGCGCTGGGCACACACACTCCAAAAAATACACACAGGAGACACTGTGACTGTAGAAGCGCTAAAGTCGGCCTCATAATCCTCACAGGTCACAGGAGCTAATTCAGACAAGGCGAGGAAGAGTTTGTTATGAGGAACTGAGATGGATCATTTGGACCACAGATGTGTGTGAAGTTGTGTTTTTAACAGCTTCAAGGTGTGTTTGCAAACTGTGAAAGGCAGGCCAGATGGTGCGGTGTCAGTATTCATAAAGTGGTAACCATCTACACGAGCTTCAGACAGAGATAAAAAACTGAAAACTATCTCTTCCCCCTGTAGCGAAGCTTGACTCTGCTATATCAAGAATATTTTTTGAGTGTAACTTTGATTACAGTGACAGAACAGGGACTGCACAATAGCTCAGTAATGGCCTTTGCTGTCACACCATCGATCGATCGATCGACATCCTGGCCACAGGTGGAGGACTCACAGCTCGCAGCGTGGCGGCTCACTGTTGTGTCAGAAAAAGAAGAGAGAGAAACAGAGATTCAGAGAGAAACAGAGAAACAAAAGACTAAAGTCTGTTGAATGCAGTCTGTTAAAATGTGAATGTGTCATTTGAACACAGACGCGTTTTAAAGCATTATACCTCACCAATTCCCAAAATTAAGTGTCTGTGAATTTGCAAAAAATTTGGGCTGTGCATTTGATGCTTTAGCAAGGATGTATTATGCAGGCTCATTCACGAAGGAATATTCTATAGCTGAGGATGGATGAGAAAGGGAATAGAGGTGATGAAAAAAACATGTAGAGGGGAGTTGCTATTTTCCAAAGGAGATCTGGCTTTTACTGTAACGGCACATTTAGACATGGAAAGAGGAGTGATAAGCATTGACAGTCACAAGAAACAAGTGAGAGAAAGAAAGAGAGAAAGAATGGAGGATATGTGAAGAAGAAACAGAGAGAAAAACAGTGCTCCGCTGTGATCCCCCCGTGTTACGTTCCACCTACAGGAGCGCAGGTAAATGTGCAGGAATGATGAAATCGTGTAGCATGTAAATATTTCATGTCAGCACTTCACCCTCAGTGCCTGTTACAACACAGCGTCCTGCTAATGTTATTTATTATGCAACATTTAAAAAGACCCCAAGGAGCTTTTATATTATCAGCCCTCTGTACTTCAGGCTATAATAGGAAAGACTGTGTGAATGTAGCTGCTGCTGGAACAGTTACACAAAGACAGACACACACAAACACACCAGGGTTGCATCAGTATTTACATTACAACATTTGGCAGACTCTCATACCCAGAGCTAGTATGTATGGTTCAATTAACAACTATTAATAGACATTTGGCAGTAATAGTTCAAAAATACCATACAGGGGAAAATAATATGTGTAGTATTCTCCAGTGTCCACCTGCTCTTGAAAACACATTTTGATTGTACAAAGAGTTTCAGGTTATTCCCTCTAGAGTAAAGTGGGACTGAAAACACAGGCCAAAATGTGTGTTTAAATCAATTAATGCTGTGGGCTACAAATTGTGTATTACATTTCACAAAATCTGCATTATTGATTTGTGGCTACTTTGAAGCAACACGACGGGTCTTCACTGTAAACAGTTGTCAGATATGGCTAGAAACTATGCTGATGAGAGCGGTCAGAGTGAACCATACCAGTAAAACATGGGGAATAAAACCAAAACAATGAGCTGAGAGATGTGAAGTGGAACTGCAGAGTTGGGTGATATCCCTCTATTGGTTCAAAACTATGATGGACACCTTTAGCAATGCACATACAGGTAGTTATTTCATTCATTGTTGATATAGAAGTATTACTCAATGCGGCTTTAAGGTCCACCAGCTTCACTGAGACATCCATGTGATGAATATGTTTTTGGGTTTGTGCACAGAAGAAGGGGATGCTTGCTAAAGGGTTAAATTACATTATTTCTGTCGTAGGTTACAGACAAAACCTACACTGATTTGTTGTAGGAAGAATTTAATGTGAATGAATTCTACACTGTGGTTAATGCAAATCAAAACCTAAATGCTGATGAGTATTTGATAGATGCTAAGTGAGTATAGTGCACGGTCATCTTAATTTTTATGCACTTACTTCTATGCTAGCATTTTCATCAGATTATGTTGTATGTAGTTATATATCTCATATATAATCTATGTAGCACTTTTATCTAAAGTGCTTTACGATATCCCAAACTCACACTCACACAGATGACAGCAAGTTACCTTGCAAGGCAATTGTCCTTCTCAAAGGACACTTAGTGAAGCAAACATTTTGAGAGAGATGATGTTCCCTCTTTTCTAAATGTTATTTTATATGATTTAGATTTTTTTTTTACCCTGATAAGAAAAATAAAATCCATGGGGCCAATATATGAGTTTTAATTGTTTTGTTTTTTTAACAAATAAAAAAATGTCAACAAGCTTGGATAATAAGCACAAAATGTTCACTATCATTAGTATTTAGTAGTATCAAAAATCTAATGTGTGAGAAACACACAGGCACACTGACACACACACATGCCAAGAAGCCAGGCAAGGCTTACTGCATAGTTGCCATGGAAACAAATGTCCTATCCTCGCGCCGTCTCAGTGTTTTGAGGTTTAGTTTGGAATTTGTTTTGGTCCAATCTGTGCATCACTCGATGAAACAACAGGGGCATGTCTGCATTTCCACCATCATCAATCTCTGTTTATTCTACAGACACAGCTGTGTCCATTTTCTGCGGTGAAGTTCTGTGTGACTATAAAAAAAAGTTTTATATTAAGTGAACTTGTAACCTTTCTGGATACACTTGTAAAGTGTTTCTGTTCTGCAGCCTGTCAGCTGATGAGCAGAAAGTGTGCCGTGTTTTTTTTTCCAATGACAAGGAGGAGAAAGAAGTGACAGGTGATTCAATGCAGCACATTTATTGAAAGAAAAAAAAATCTGTTAGCATTCAAACACCATGTAGTGTAATTGTATAAGCAGCGGAAAGTGAGCAGTTTGTGTGTGAATAACTGCAACAGTAAAAACAGGAGCAGTTCTCACCTCCTGGGGCTCTTCTTACTCTTCTATCAGCCATTCGCTTTCATCTTCACTCTCTCATCTTTTCATATGCAACCTGCTCAATAATGGATTCATCATTTAATTTTGATGCCTCCTCGTTTTTGTCATTTGCTCTCAAAAGCTCACAGTGTTTTTTAGCAGGTTCAAGAAAGCAGAACTGCGTGCTGATGTGTGTACATAAAGGACTTGTGCCGCCTTGCAATTTGAACGATTCAGAAAAGGAGTGTGAAATAAATCTGTATGACTCAGCGGCTACTTTCATAACGCCGTCTCCTCCTAGCTCTCCACAATCTTTTTTTCGCTGTGGATAAATAGAGAGTATTTTTCCTCATAGTGGCCATTATTTCTCCCCTCCTACTCTTCTGACTAAGATTTCTTTGAAAGTTTAGTATACGACTGCACCGTGGCTCACGTTATCCACAGCAGTACCCCAGCCACTGAAGGATGACTAATAGTTACAAAAAGACAAAGCTGCACTGACCTTAATCCACAATCTGAAGTGAGTGGCCCTCCAGTCAACAGCTGAGGAAGAAGGATTTCTCTTTAAACTTCATAAACACTGCAGGTGTATTTATTGATCTCAATCAACATAATGATTGAAATGTAATTATATTTATTTATGTAAAAAAAAAAGAAGCTATATAGATACAGATGCATATAAGTCAGTCAGAGTGTTGAGAGAAAACTATAGATACAAGTGGTACAGTAAATGGACTGTGTTAGAGAGTTGTCTCTTAGCTACTGTAAATTGTAGTGGAAAGGAGAAACCTTGGAAGAGTTGATTAACTGATAAATCTCTCGTCAGCAAATAAACCAGCAAATGTTTTGATAATCAAATGATTGTTTCAATAATTTTTCAAGCAAAAGTGTGAAACATCTGCTGGTTCCAGCTTCTGTAATGCCAGGATTTGATATGTTACTAAACTGAATATTTTTGGGTTATGAACTGTGGCTTTGACAAATCACGACATTTGATGATTTTGCCTTGAGCTCTGGGTTCAGATTTCCTAATGTACCATATAGGCCTAATGCGTAAAATCACTACATGTATTGAACATCATTATTTACTGTATGCCACAATAATTACTACACCTGGTATAGTTGTTTTCTACAACACCTGTTCAGCACATAACACAGTCGTAACAGAAAGCCTGCTCAAACCTTACTGAAGCGCTAATGCAGATATGCATTAATGAGGAGTCTAAAGGCTTCTGCCAAACCTCTTATCTTTAAAAAGATACTGCTTTGCATACCAAATATTGTTCATAGCCTTCCTCAACCCAAGACATGTAGTGTAAGTTTCTAGGTCACTTATCTATCCATGTTTCTGCCAGACAGATTGTTCTTGTTTCTTTTTCTTCATAGCCAGTTTTAAACATTTTTCTCACATACACATAAATGGATCTGTTTCCCTCCCACACACTCACCTGCACACCCAACACCTATGCAAATTTGCTAAACCTCCATTACTACCTACACATACCCTGGACTGTAAGTGAAACAAAAAATAATGAAATACATTAAAGCTTATATTAATTTGGTTACCTTTGCTATTCATTTGTGTGAGCACCTCACTGAGTACAACGATTCAGCATCCAAGATGATGTTTACATTTCAGGTACTTTGATGAGTGGGGAGATGTAACAGACACTTGATAGATTGAAGAGAGGAAGAGAGTCCTATATAATGATGCCGTGTGGTTGAACAAGGTGGCTTAAAGGCACGCATTAAAAGCTTACACAATTACAAAATCACAAACCTTTGCTTTCTAACTTTTGAATTTCTTTTGGTGGAAGTTCTGGACAGATCAATCCGACATTTGAAACGTTAAACTAAAGCTCTTTTTTACTTTCCACAAAGCACTTCTTGCAGTACAACTTGTGTTGTACAATCTAGATCAAACTAAGACAATTAGGTGTAAGATAATTAATTAGATGGTCATCTCTGTCCTCTAATGAGCAACTATCTGAAAGCTTGAAAGTTTTCAGAATCCCTATTAAGGTGAAAAAGAAATCATAATTGTGCTATGTTATTGTCCAACAGTCACATTCATGCTTCTGCAGAAGTTAAAGTCAACGGTGCCTCTCCTTCATCTCCATTTGACTTTGCTTTTTTCCAGTGAAACAGGAAGAGAGAGCCACAGAAAAGCTTTTCAG